CTCTTTCCGGCTATTCCCCTCACCCTTTCTGCTGCGACTGCCCTAGTCGTCGTTCCCAGCAAGTACTTCTATGTACCAACCATCTCCAACACGCTACATCCCCCTCCCCCTCCCCCTCCTCCACTCCTTTATATACTCTGTGTATTTAACTCCATGCACATATTTACGAGGGCTCTATGTACATATGGCCGTCTCGTGCGCCCGCACGGTCGCGTTGTACATATGTGAATGTCTATATGTACAACTACAGTGTTGTGTAACGTAGGCTATGTACAAACGGGGATATATCCATGTACAGATGCCCTGGGCCATGTACATAAGGTACAGCCTGGCATAAAAAGTATATGGTAACCAGGTATATTCGAGCTAAAAAATCATTCCAGGTGGTTTTTTGAATTAGCTGGGTCGATGTTAATTTCGGAAAAATTGAGCTGGTGGGAGAAAGTCTTGAGGGAAATGGCTAGAAAAACAATATCAAGGAAAAAATGGGGATTGAGCATATTAGGGGAGGGTATGGTAAAATGGACACTTTAGACTTTTTTAAAATTATTCATAACTCAGAAACAAATGTATCAATAGAGCTCAATTTAGGATCGTCACAAAGGGGAAGAATTGGTCTTTGTATTGAAAAAAAAATTATTGAATTTCATCAACACTTCAACCCGTTACTAATATTTTTAAAAAAGTGTACTTTTACCCCAACCTCCTCTGTGAATTCTAACTTTGACGAGAGTAGAAAATGAATGCATCCAATTCTCATCAAATAATACTAGACTGATGATCGAGTACGAACTCAGCCAGAATTTTTTTATTCATTTCAACTTCCGTTTAAAATTTATTGTAGTTTTTCATCTTCAAAATTTAACTTATGTATGTACTACTTGTAAGCTCGATTGCACCAGCTCCGGGTAACGAAAACGTCAGATAAGAAAAAAAAGTTAATTTGGATGTTCGATGGATTATTTTACCCGTGAGAGTATCTCAAATTTATCCCAGGAACAAAAAATGTCTGAAAAAACGAAATTAAGGAAAAAATGGGGATTGAGCATATTATGAATTCTAACTTTGACGAGAGTAGAAAATGAATGCATCAAAATCTCATCAAATAATACTAGACTGATGATCGAGTACGAACTCAGCCAGAATTTTTTTATTCATTTCAACTTCCGTTTAAAATTTATTTTAGTTTTTCATCTTCAAAATTTAACGTATGTATGTACTACTTGTAAGCTCGATTGCACCAGCTCCGGGTAACGAAAACGTCAGATAAGAAAAAAAAGTTAATTTGGATGTTCGATGGATTATTTTACCCGTGAGAGTATCTCAAATTTATCCCAGGAACAAAAAATGTCTGAAAAAACGAAATTAAGGAAAAAATGGGGATTGAGCATATTATGAATTCTAACTTTGACGAGAGTAGAAAATGAATACATCCAATTTTCATCAAATAATACTAGACTGATGATCGAGTACGAACTCAGCCAGAATTTTTTTATTCATTTCAACTTCCTTTTAAAATTTATTTTAGTTTTTCATCTTCAAAATTTAACGTATGTATGTACTACTTGTAAGCTCGATTGCACCAGCTCCGGGTAACGAAAACGTTAGATAAGAAAAAAAAGTTAATTTGGATGTTCGATGGATTATTTGACCCTAGGGAGTATCTCAAATTTATCCCAGGAACAAAAAATAAAATTTAATCCCAAGGTTAAATCAGTGTTAATTCAAATGGGGCTACACCATAAATAAAAAAACATTCCCCGGGTCAAATATTGAAAAATTATGACCCCTACGATGTAATTCAGTAGCGAAGTGGTAAAAGGAAATAAGTCAATTTTAACTATTGACCAGTTTTCAATGAATATCACGGAATCTAAGGGAGATAGTAAAATTTTTGTTATAACCTTTTTTATGGAGCTGATTGAGTGCTACATCAAATGTAATTACGACAATTTCGCTATCTCCCTTAGATTCGGAAATATCCCTCAAAAACTCAACTGGGAGATAAGTCGACTTATCTCCGTTTACCACTTCACTACTGAATCGACCCCGAGGATAAAATTTACCCTGGGGTTTATTTGGATAACAGGGCTCCGTGCAACCGCGCCTAAGTTGACAAAGTCGATTGAAAATTTCTAAATACATCCTCCACGTTTACATTAAAGTATATCCAAACTCCACGGTCGATGTTAATTTGGGAAAAATCGGTTGGGGGATGAAATTTACGGAGAAAATATATAGAAAAACGAAATCAAGGAAAAAATAGGGATTGAGCATATTTTGTTCTTAGAAATGGAAACATTGTTCGGAAATTCAATTAAATTGATCATTTCTTACATGAATTCTAACTTTGACGAGAGTAGAAAATGCTCGTTTGACTAGGGCATCCTGTACATTCGGGGTACTCAGACACATAAATTATCTATCACAAAAGTGTGACACAGGATAATTTTTGCATTAGGCACATTGTTATTCATTTTCTTCTGATTTTTTTACATCGTATTTCTACGTTTCAATCTTCCCTCCAATCTCGAAGAATTCCTTTTCCTATAAGACTTTGTGTCATTTTGTCACTTCAGAATTAATTGTTGTCAATAATACTAGACTGTCAATTGAGCACGAACTCAGCCAGAATATTCTTATTCATAATAACTTCCGTTTAGAATTTATTTCAGATTTTCATCTTTAAATTAATTTCTTATCCAAAAGTAACTCGTCCCCCTATAGGGCAGTGCCCATCTACTGGATCGCTTACCCCACCAGTTTAAGAAATTCCAAAAAAACTGTAGGAATGAAGGGAATGAAGACACGATAGAAATGTTCGCCTCGGAGTGATCTGATTTTCGTATGAAGATTGACTCAAGTGAGGCGCAGGAAACGAGAAAATTTCAATTCTTCAGGAATTCAGGGGGACTGAATAATTCACTGAATTTCTGACAACTCCCCCTCAGTTGAAACTTGGATAATTCGTCTTCCAACTCATCTCTATGTGTCAATTATGATCATAATCCTGGAATATCCAAGCTCAACATTTTCGATATTTAACTGCGACTGTGTAGACCGAATCAAGGAATTTTATTCGACATGTGATGAGTAAATTTGTCGTTTTTTCTAGTCTCTCCTAAAAAAATGTCAGTGGGAAGGGAATTTAATAATGCCTCCATCAATATTGCAAACTCCTCATGATTCTCTCGGCTTGGAATGGATTATTCATACGTTTTTCTTCTCCCCGTTGTGTCCAGAAGGAGAACACATTCTGATTGCAAGAAAGTTGAAGTTTTCAGTCTGTCAGTGGCAGGTACTATACTCGCTGGCTTTGGGCCACTGCTGTCGTTTTCTATTTTTCTTCCCTCATATACAAGCCAATGTGTTCTCCACACATTTGCGATGATGCCAAGCGAATACTTTCCATCAGCCATTGACTTGCGTAATTCTCAACTCCAACTTACGCACACAAGCACAGTTGAGGCCATTTTTACTCTTCTTACGAATTCCCAACGTCTCTCACGTCACTGTCCTTTCTGTCCTTTTTTCAGCTTTCATATGTGACTTGAAATCACTAGTACGTCTGATAAGGCAATTTTACTTGAACATCATGTTGTTTTTACGAGAGAGTCACGGAATCGGAGAAAAATGCCGGAGTTTTCGTGAAAATCTTTTATTTTGAGGGTTCGAAAACGGTCCATATGGAATATTCCACGATCTTTCTTGAATTCAGAGATGCGCATCAGGGAAAAAAACATCTTGAAGTTTAGATGACTCATCGTGTTTTACCACTTCATTGCTAAAATTTATTCGAAAGTATTTTTTAGATCTTAGTATATTCTTGATTTGTGTATAGGAGAAGTAGTTTAATTGTTTAGGAGCAAAATCTCCGTGTGTATTGAGAGGTATAAACAAGTTATTTGGACAGACTGGGATATTCAGTTCAAAGTCAGCTCGAATTAACTAGAACTGAGTGAGTTTTCGTCAAAATCTTTAATTTTGAGGGTTTAAAAACAGCCCGTATGGAATATTTTACGATCTTTCTTGAATTCAGAGTTATGTATCAGGGAAAAAATATCTCGAAGTTCAGTTGACTCATCCTGTTTCACCGCTTCACTACAGAAATTTATTCAAAAGCATTTTTTAGATCTTGGTATATTCTCGATTTATGAATAGGAAAATTGGTTCAATTGTTTACATTTAAGTTTACTCATTTACTTAAGTTTATTTAAGTTTAGTTAAGTTTACTCACGTTTGCATTCAGTTTAAAGTCAGTAGCAGCTCGAATTAGCTAGAACTGAGTGAGTTTTCGTCAAAATCTTTAATTTTGAGGGTTTAAACAGTCCGTATGGAATATTTTACGATCTTTCTTGGATTCAGAGTTATGTATCAGGGAAAAAATATCTTGAAGTTCAGTTGACTCATCCTGTTGTACCACTTCACTACCAATATCTATTCAAAAGCAGTTTTTCGATCGTAGTATATTCTCGATTTATAAATCGGCAAATTATTTTAATTGTTTACATTTAGGTTTCTTCATTTAGTTAACTTTACTTAAGTTTACGTAAGTTTACTCATGTGTACATTCAGTTTCGAGTCAAGATTTTGTCGAAAACCGAGTGAGTTTTCGTCAAAATCTTTCATTTGTAGGGGTCAACACGGTCCATATGGAATATTCCACGATTTTTCTTGGATTTAGAGATATGAATCAGGAAAAAACACATCTTGAAGTTCAAATCACTCCTCATGTTTTACCACTTCACTGCTAAAATTGATTGAAAAGCATTTTTTTAGATTTGTAATGTATTTTCGATTTATGTATAGGAAAATTAATTTGTTTACGAGCAAAATCTTCATGTATATTGAGAGATATAATGAAGTTATTTGGACAGACTTTGATATATTCAGTTCCGATGCTGTACACATATGCAGATAAAAATAAAACATTGATAATTCGACAATTATTCTGCTAAAGATTGAAGTATAATTTCTAATAATGGAATTGTCATTTACAGGTCATATCCGTCTCCAGTACAAAACGGAGGGCAGAATAGCAATCCAATGAGCTGTAGCGGTTCACAAGGTGAATATAAATGTAGTGATTTAAGGGGGGCGGGGTGGGTCACCACATTCTTCAATAACATTCTTTTTTTTTCAACGGAAGGAATTGAGTGATTTCAAACTCCATACGATTGATTTTGCGGCAGGTCGCGTGGAATACACAAAAAAATTTCGTTGAAAAATATTGAAAATTTAAGGACTAGTGGGGGTTTTACGAATCGAAAAAAAAAGAAAAATGTCGATTTTCGATAGGAAAAGCAAAAAAAAACTTCGGATGCATATTTTCATCGCAAAAGTCAATTATAACGGGAATGAGAGATTCAAAATCTGTCTCCTTCCCCCTTTTCTCTTCCTAGATCGGTCTATTCCATTTTTCACAGAGGGACCATGTTATGGAGTCGAAGAACTCTGAATATAATTTTCCAGATTTATTGTAATTTGATTATTGGCTGAGCTTTCTGTGATGAAAATATTCATTGAATTATTTTTTTTTTTTCAACTTATTATCGAGAATTGACATTTTTCAATTTGTTTTATTCGTAAAAATCCTATTAATCCTACAATATTCAATATTTTACATCAAATTTTTAAAAATTCATTTTATATGATGTTCTGCAAAATTAGTTGTACCGGATTAAAAATTACTCAATTCCTTCTGTTGAATAAAAAATTAATGTTATTGAAAAATGAGAATTTCCTGACATGTCATGCCTACACTTTTTTTTACATAAAGAAGAAATTGAAAAAAATAATTCTGAAATTTCCAATCAAAAACTTGTACTCGGAAAAAACGGTGTGACCCCCTCTTTAATATTCCTACGAACTTCAGTGGAATTTCTATAATTATGTCTATAATCCAAGGTATGTCAACATTGATATGTTAATCTCGTCGTTATTGAGCAATTATGAAGCATTTTTATCATGGACATTAAATATTCCAGCATTAATTGAATTGAAATGACATTGATGAAATACAGTCATCAGTGTTGAGCGAAATAGGAAGACGATGTCAGCAGTGTAGTGTTGAAACGTAACAAGGAAAATTTTTACTGCTTGTTAAATTTTAAATTATTCTCATAATACAAACGAAGATTCTACTGATTACTCAAGTACTTTGGCTATTTTTTCTCCAGTGACATGCTTTTCTACTTTCGTAATCTAACAGCAGAGTTTTCATTTGAGCCCCACATGTGACCCTAAGTTTCCGGAAATTTTGCAATGATTTTATTATTTAAACTTTGCAGGTCTGCATTTCAATTTCGATATTGAACCATTAGAAAACATTTTAAAAATCTGAAAAAGATATTAGATATTTACTTTTGAGGAAAGATCGATGAAATTATAAAAAAAATAAGATTTCAATGATTTATTTATGAACAACGAATGTTAAAAAAAATAATAATTCTGTACCAAATGTAATTTGAACAACGCTGAACATTCGTGATTTTTTTTTATTTTTCACCCGCAGTTTAACTGACAAATTTGATGATTAAAAATGATTGAGTCTATAGCGTGGTCTATACCAAACTGTAAAAGATACTTGGCTATCCTTAATTTCACATGCAGTATTTAATATTGAAGGAATGACTTGCAGCATAAATTGTAGAAATTCTGGCAAAATTGAATAGTATATCATCAATTGACTATTTTAACAACTGACTTTTTATATTTCCAGGTATAATGGTTAAGCAGGAGGCTAGGGATGACGGCTATGAGACGAGTCCCGACCTGGAGATGAGGAGTAATGGTGGTGACAGTAGCCAACAGTATCATACACCACTGACGCCTCATACCCCACACACACCTCATACTCCGCACACACCTTTGACGCCAATATCGGCGACTCCACATCAGCCTCAGCAGCCAGGCTCCACTGGGGCCACACTGGGACAGGTGAGCGAGCTTCATAGGGCCCATCCCCCCAAACCGCGGTAGCCATCATTACCGCAAAACCACCCTTCATCCGAGTATCTTTCATCTCGCATCTCGTGCAACCAACTTTGTTCCATCCACATCCGCACTCAGACAAAGAAAAAAAATGAGAGGAAAAAAATTGGGGAGAAGTTCTCATTAGAGGGGGATTCATCACTTGTGTATTCATTCACGGGGAGGAAAGTTCTTTGAGAATAGATTTTTCATCACATCAAGCCGACTGATGGGGTCAGTAGGGCTACTGTGCCAGTGGCTGAACAATTTTCAACTTCAAACGGATTTAGTTAATCTCACTATTTGGCTTCTGTGATCGAGCTCCACACTTCATTTAGTAGAATACATTTGTGTAAACATGAATCCCTTTATTTCAGTTTTTAAAAGGTTTTTACGGTTTATTTGCGTGTTCAGAAAATGGGAGAATTACTTTAGTCAAGTGAGGAAATAGGGTAGAAAGGGTGCGATTGTCACGGATCAATGATGGAGTACATTTTGATAGAAGATGATTTGGTGAGAGTCCACTCCAAATGAAGGGACCACCTTCCCCTTCCAATTTCACGATTTATTGAGCAATATACTTTCAATCTAATACATTTAATAAATTATGCTAGGCAATGCCCAGAACGATATCTTCATTTGATCGAAGATCTTTCTGTTTAGAGTGAATTATAGAATCCTTGACAACATAATTTGATAGTCAAGGCTTAGAGTAGTTTCTGAGTATTTTGGAAGTTGTTCATCAAAAATTGAACCATATGTTAACATTATCAGGCTTATTCTATTTCTTGTACACATTCAATTCGAAGATGATAAACTAATCAAGTGCCACAATCTATTTTCATTTTGAATCTTAATACCTGGAGAGAAATGTCAACTGTTGTCAAATGTTGATGTAATCTCCTTTTTTTCAAACTCTTGGAACTTTTTACGCTTTATTAACGTATTCAGCCTCTGTTCATGTTCAGCAACTGGGAATTACTTTAATGAAGTGGTAGAACAGGGTAGAAAGGGTGCGATTGTCACGGATCAATGATGGAGTACATTTTGATAGAAGATGATTTGGTGAGAGTCCACTTCAAATGAATGGACCACCTTCCCCTTCCAATTTCATGATTTATTGAGCAATACACTTTCAATCTACTACATTTCATAAATTAGGCAATGTCCAGAACGATATCTTCATTTGATCGAAGATCTTTCTGTTTAGAATCAATTATAGCATCCTTGACAACATAATTTGATAGTCAAGGCTTAGAGTAGTTTCTGAATATTTTGAAAGTTTGTTCATCATTTCTTGTGCCTCAAAAATTGAGGCTTATGTCAATATTATTCAATACTTATTTCATTCTTTGTACACATTCGATTCGAAGATGAGAATCTAGTCAAGTGCAACAATCTATTTGCATTTTCAGAGGGAAAAAGAAATTTTTATTTTCAGGAACATGTTGCAGATTTCCAAGGGTGTGTCACTGATTCTTAGATGTGTACTGATGACGAATTACTGATGATAATTGACATAGACAATGATAACCTTGTTAATCTGTTCTTTGTGTCATTAAAATTTGGTGGTAGATTCCTAAAAATTAGAGATGAATTTTTAAAAATCAGCGATATTCCCCTAAAAATCAACGATTTTGACACCAAAAATAAATGGCAAAATCATTGAATTCCAGAATTTTGTACTTGTTATATTTAACAGACGCAAATCCCTGATTATAGAGAAAAATTCGTAAAAATTAGAGATGGATTCCTGAACATCAATGACATATCTCTGAATATCGAAACATTCTTTCCTGTTCTATTCCTATATGTTCCTATAATTGACATAGACGATGATAACCTTGTTACTCAGTTCTTTGTGTCATTAAAATTTGGTGGTAGATGCCTAACAATTAGAGATGAATTCTTGAAAATCAGCGATATTCCCCTAAAATTCAACGGTTTTGACACCAAAAATAAATGGCAAAATCACTGAATTCCAGAATTTTGTACTTGTTATATTTAACAGACGCAAATCCCTGATTATAGAGAAAAATTCGTAAAAATTAGAGATGGATTCCTGAACATCAATGACATATCTCTGAATATCGAAACATTCTTTCCTGTTCTATTCCTATATGTTCCTATAATTGACATAGACGATGATAACCTTGTTACTCAGTTCTTTGTGTCATTAAAATTTGGTGGTAGATGCCTAACAATTAGAGATGAATTCTTGAAAATCAGCGATATTCCCCTAAAATTCAACGATTTTGACACCAAAAATAAATGGCAAAATCACTGAATTCCAGAATTTTGTACTTGTTATATTTAACAGACGCAAATCCCTGATTATAGAGAAAAATTCGTAAAGATTAGAGATGGATTCCTGAAAATCAATGACATATCTCTGAATATCGAAACATTCTTTCCTGTTCTATTCCTATATGTTCCTATAATTGACATGGACGATGATAACCTTGTTACTCAGTTCTTTGTGTCATTAAAATTTGGTGGTAGATGCCTAACAATTAGAGATGAATTCTTGAAAATCAGCGATATTCCCCTAAAATTCAACGATTTTGACACCAAAAATAAATGGCAAAATCACTGAATTCCAGAATTTTGTACTTGTTATATTTAACAGACGCAAATCCCTGATTATAGAGAAAAATTCGTAAAAATTAGAGATGGATTCCTGAACATCAATGACATATTTCTGAATATCGAAACATTCTTTCCTGTATTCTATTCCTATATGTTCCGAGATACGTCGAATAATTTAATGACAGCCATTATATTCGCAACCTCTGAACAATTTTCCACAATTTCAATTGCAGGTTGGAGTCAAGTGTGAAACTCCAGTAGACCCTTATTCGTTCGTCGACGAGGAAATGTCGATGGGTGGGGTGCGAACGGCAAGTAGTCCTGGTGAAAATCTCGATGGCATAACATGCCCTAGCGGTTCACAATCCGGTCTTGGAACACCCACGTCAATGTCCCCGGGTCCAATGATGAATCCTCAGCAGCAACATCAACATCACCAGATGAATATGGCAATGAATGGTGTCCTCAATCCCCTTCAAATGCAACAACAGCCGAAGAAGAGAGGGCGGAAGAAAAAATCCGAGATGATATTAACGCCGGAGGAGTAAGTATTCACCAAAAAGTCATCTCTTTTGAGAAATCCATGAGTACAATAGGGAACTTGTAGGATTTTTTTTTAATCTTGAATTTCAGTCTTAAACGATTATTTTGTCATTTGTACACATTTTAAATATTGCTCGTTAATTAATAATTAATGATGTTGCGGAGAAGATTTCGACCGAATTTTTAACTTGTTTTTTAGTTTTTGGCCTCTGCTGTCATTAGTTGACTTGAAGTGAAGGAATTTATTATGTCCAAATGATGAAAATTGGTCCAGTCATTTGGATTGAGCCCAATATATATTTTTTTTTATTAATAATTAATTGTTGAAAGTTGCAAGGACAACAAAGTTGGAGAAAAATCACCAAACGAGTCATGTAATTGCGGAGTGGAATCCATTTCTAAGTCCTTTTGTTCCTATATCAAGTCAAAAAATACGGACAAAATAGTGAATTTTTATCCGCTGGCTTGAGACAATTTACTAAACGTAAGAGTAACTTGTGTCAACACTGTAAAATTTACCACTCATGCTATCAAAAATTATGATAGGGAACTTGCATGAAGCTCAGTTTTTTCTAATTCCCTTATTCCTACATTTCTCATAACATGGATATCTAAACGGCGAAAACTATGGAAAAATATAGCCTAGATGTCTTACGATAATTAATTGAAAATCCGTCGTTTTCAAGTCCAATTTCTCGATCATGACGTCATAAAGACGGTCAGGTAACGCTTCATTGGTCGAGTGTGAAGGGAGTGGGGAGTTGTCGTCCCCCATTAGCCGAGGCGCACCTCAAGGCTGGGTTAGGTCGGCTCGAGCCATTCTGTGATTGGTCCAGCGGTCGACCGTCTGTGTGACGTCATTAGTGATTTCAAAGCGTCTAAAATCTCCGACTTTTAACAGCTTATTATTAATTAATGAGCAATGTTTCGAACGTTTGTGAATGAAGAATGAATTATTTAGGCCCCAGACTTGAAATTAGAAAACTGAAAAAAGTTTATGCAAGTTCCCATTGAACATCACGTAAACCACTTTGTGAAGCACAAAAATTTACTGCCAAAATTGGGGATTTCTGGAGAAATTACTCTGAAATTCACCGAGTATGGTTCATTTGTCGCTGTGCAAATAGAAGGGCGTAAGGAAGGGAGGGGGGGGGGGGGGACCGAGAATGTTTGCCTGAAGAGAGTAAAAGACGAATAAAATGGGAAAGAGATGTTTCAATTGACTAACGACATGGTGCTACGTGATTTTTCCTCAGGGCGGAGTTGGCGGAGGCAAAGAAACGGGCCAAAACGTATAAAGAAAGAAAGAAACACGACAGATTCGATGGAATGCCGGAGGAGGAGGTCAGCAAACGTGTACTACCGGATCACCTCAGCCCAAACCTCGATATTATAATCGTAAGTTTTGGCCTTTACGAATATATTTGAAAAAATTAGAATGCTTCAACTACAGCTTCATCTTTCCAGTTTAGTTTAAAAACTCTTAATTAATGAATTCGTTAACCATTCGAATCCATACCATGAGAGAAAAAAATGGCTCTGACAAAAAACTATATGTTCCACGGGAGAATATTTGATGGAGTGGAACAGATTTACTTGAGGAAAATTAACCAACTCGATTGGAGAAAATTTAATATCTTTCACAAAAATTAAATTGGTCTCGTGATCATTAGAAAAATTCCTAGAAGAATTCGAACTGTTGGCAGGAAAAAAAAATTTAATCTATTGTTTCACAAACTTCGAGTTTTTCAACTTTCGAAACATTATCTTTTGCTAAATTTTATACCGAACAAATTTATCGCTAAAGTTTAGTCACAGTTAACTTTTAATATATATTTTAAATTTTGTTGGAAATTTGATTTAATTGAATTTTTAATCAATTTAGTATTTTTCTTTTGCACGACAATCATTTGATCTGAGAAAACTCCATCGGTTTATACCACAGAATGAATACATTGATGAGGGAAGAATATTTTTTTCTCAAAAAAATTAATTCCTCGAAATTATTTCGTTTTGCCAATAATAGTTTTCGGGAAAAAAGTTGCAGTTTCTTTGTGAAATTATCATTTGTTTCATGGAAATTATAAGTGTTTATTTCTCTCAGTGTATGAGAAAATCATTTATTAATTATTTCTATCGATTCTTGTCTTCGATTTGCTGTCATGAATGAACATGACGAGTTCATCATGATTCGCATTTCTGTATTGCGATATAAAATGTTGAACTGCGTAGATTTTGAATAGTAGTGATGAAAACACGTCATGTAGTCGTGAAACGATTCCCGAGCTTCTTTTCCCCCCGCAATATTGACGTTCCTCGCACGATGAAGTGTATGATATCAATAATTGCTCACGCACCGTTCCTTTTGTCACTATATAGCGGATCGTTACCCTCCCTCGAACACTCGCCCCCGTTTTCCTATAGACTCACTTGTTTATTCCGCATTTGGTCCGCGATGGTAGGTGTTGAACCGTGGAAATGCAGTTGTTGCACCGTACATTCACGGTCAAATCAATCGGGAAATAGGCACAAAGTGCTCACTTTCAGTTAGTTTTGCTTTCAAATAGAAACTTAGTAATCGTTCGAAGTTTTAAGAAAATGAAGTTTCCGATTTTTTGTGGTAGGGTAACTAAATGTTGTCTAAAAATCTGTATATATGTATCTATGCAGTTTTTTTCTTCCTTTTTTTAGAAATTTTCTTATAAGGGACCAATTGAATGTCATGATTTTTTTCGTGAATATAGACTTTAAGGATATCCAAGTATCTGTTACAGTTTGGTACAGACCATACTATAGATCCAACCATTTTCAATCATTAAATCTATCAATAAATTGCGTGAGAAACATTTGAAAGAGATCTTCAATATTCAGCATCGATAAAATTACATTTAGCACAGAGTTATTATTTTTTCAGACCTTCGTTGTTTATAAACAGATAATTGAAATTGTTTTTTCGGAAACTTTATTTTGTCGGACAAATGATTTTTATGGTGGAAAATTGGTTGTTTATAAATTATTTACAGAAAATCGTAGTGATTTAAAACAATTGCAATTTTTAAATTATATTGTCAATCTTTCTCCAAAAGTAAACTTTGTAATTTTTTCGGATTTTTAAAATGGTTTCTAACGGTTCAACATGGAGATTCCAATTCAGACCTGCAGAGTTTAAATAATAAAATTTTTCAAATGGACGCTCTGATGTTTGGTTACAAAAATAGAAAACCATTTCATTGAAGAAAAAATAGCCAAGAACTTGGATATCCTGAATAAGCTCTAATTATTGACACCAATTTGAATTAATTTTTTCATACAGATTCGAAAAAATTGATATTTTTTCGAAAAATCCATTTTTCAACGATCACTCAAAGAATTGTCATCAAAATGGAATTAGTCATGGCTCAAAAAGTTGATAGCAATACCCTCTTGATTTTATCAGAATATGATGGGGGTCGCACAATTCGTTGTTGTGTTACAACACATTGTTTATGCCATTTGAAAGAGAAAATCGGTTTTTTCATGGTTACTGAAAGAATCATTAGTAACAGCACTTAAATCAGGGCCTAAAGTATATTTCAATGCCTACTAAATCAAGTTGACAAATGGTGAGAACAGCATCATTGCTTATCAAGTTACACAATACCGTCATGAGCTTTTTATATCAAAATCTCTATCTCTATTAAACTCAGGTACCAGTCTATTATGTTGAATACTTATTCATATTAATTCATGGTCCCGATTAACTTCTGACAGAACCTGTGTTAAACTCTGGCTAAATCCTGAATAAAGCCTGATTAAATCCCGGCTATACCCTGATTAAACCTTGATTGAACCTCGATTAAACCCGGACTGAAAACGAATTCGAGTCTCGAGAGGGTCTGAATGTAGAATTATTTGACAGAACGAAATACTACGCAAAATTTTGATGACATTTCAATTGATGACAGTACTATGACATGAAAAAATAACAGAACAGAATAGTGAAATAAGAATTAAATAAAGAGAACTCATTCTGAACCAATTGCTGATTTATCATCCACAATAACTATTCTCATTTACAAAAAATTGCAATCGCCCACTTGTTTCTCTCGGAACGTACGACAACCCGAAATCCATGTCGCAGGAAATAAAATGTTCAAAAACATAATCTTCAACATTATCATCCGTCTATTCTCGATTTCAGAATAGTTTCCCCGTGGGTTCAAGAACCAAGATTAAACCTTGATTAAACCTTGATTGAACCTCGATTAAACCCGGACTGAAAACGAATTCGAGTCTCGAGAGGGTCTGAATGTAGAATTATTTGACAGAACGAAATACTACGCAAAATTTTGCTGACATTTCAATTGATGACAGTACTATGACATGAAAAAACAACAGAACAGAATAGTGAAATAAGAATTAAATAAAGAGAACTCATTCTGAACCAATTGCTGATTTATCATCCACAATAACTATTCTCATTTACAAAAAATTGCAATCGCCCACTTGTTTCTCTCGGAACGTACAACAGCCCGAAATCCATGTCGCAGGAAATAAAATGTTCAAAAACATAATCTTCAACATTATCATCCGTCTATTCTCGATTTCAGAATAGTTTCCCCGTGGGTTCAAGAACCAAGATATTCTTGACTCGACAGTAATAGCCACTCAGAAACCGAGAAAGAAAAATATTCTTCATTCAAGATTTTCAAAATTCTCTATTCACCGCCCGAAGTGAATGAAACATGGCATTTCCGATTCATCTCTTTCCCCGTCCATAACTGAGGCAAAGTAACTTTGAAAATCGGCTTTGTAACCCGAGGAAACAATCGGAATACTTATCAAAAAATGCTTTCACACAAAAGCCTCACTTTTGCCCGCTTTTTTTCCGAAACGACTCTCGGAACGACGGAGGCACACGTGTCAATGTGTATTCAACGTGTCAGTGAGGGTCTGAATAAAGGTACAATGGCCCGATTAAAGTCTCATCTTTTTTTATTTCCCTCTTTCCTCGCTCGTTTTCGTTTCGTCTTTCAACGAGCCATCAAAGACCACCACAAGGGTTTGCTTATAAGCACTAAAATGAGGTAAATTGCGTGTGATCCCTGTGCATAGGAACAAGAAGCATTTGCTTTCTATTCCCTCCTCTTCTTCTTTTTTTTCCTCTTCATTTTAAGATAATTACGCAAGAAACATGTGCGCCGTTAACGACGCCCTCGACTCTTGGCGGTTTTATCCTTGGACTATGGCTCGTTTATTAGTTACCTAACCTCAAATGTAAAGAGGCGAATATAACGTCTTCGGATGTTTGTTGCGCAACAGGTAACCCGGCGTGTCCGTGTCGGACCGTTGCATAATCATTCGCCGTTACCAAATGCAGATGAACCACGCGTATTATTCCCTCTCGCTCTCTGTCGCTATCTCGCTTCTCTAGGTTTGTACGCACGCATTACGACTGCACTTCCCCGTTCTTCCCCGCCAGTGAAACGCTTTCGCTCTTTCTCAACCCTTTATCTCCCGGGTAACGAGGACTCTTATGGATCTTCAGTGATTATTGTAATTATTGTCGTTGGATTGAATTGCTGCAGCTAGTCAGTTGCATTTCAATTTTGGGGGGAACATGGCTAGTTGTGTAGCGAAGGGGTAAAACGGGGCAAGTCAAAAGACTATTCACCGGTTTCCAACGAATATCCCGAAATTTAAAGGAGGCTGGGTAAGCTAGTAGATGGACACTGCCCTGTAGATGGACAAACTACTTTTGGATAGGAAATTACGCAAAAAAAATGTTGAAATGTGAATTGTTGCTTAGAATTTTCACCAACGGTTGTGCAGGTTAAATTTCTGTAATATTACAAGAATTTTACCCTTACATTAATGAAGGTTTAATACATGTTGATCTAATTTTTTCAAATAATGTAATATTAATAATCTGATTTTTCTCGAATAATGATGTTTTTAATTATTATTGAATTATTCAACGATTATTGTAATTATTGTCGTTGGATTGAATTGCTGCAGCTAGTCAGTTGCATTTCAATTTTGGGGGGAACATGGCTAGTTGTGTAGCGAAGGGGTAAAACGGGGCAAGTCAAAAGACTATTCACCGGTTTCCAACGAATATCCCGAAATTTAAAGGAGGCTGGGTAAGCTAGTAGATGGACACTGCCCTGTAGATGGACAAACTACTTTTGGATAGGAAATTACGCAAAAAAAATGTTGAAATGTGAATTGCTGCTTTGAATTTTCACCAACGGTTGTGCAGGTTAAATTTCTGTAATATTACAAGAATTTTACCCTTACATTAATGAAGGTTTAATATATGTTGATCTAATTTTTTCAAATAATGTAATATTAATAATCTGATTTTTCTCGAATAATGATGTTTTTAATTATTATTGAATTATTCAACGATTATTGTAATTATTGTCGTTGGATTGAATTGCTGCAGCTAGTCAGTTGCATTTCAATTTTGGGGGGAACATGGCTAGTTGTGTAGCGAAGGGGTAAAACGGGGCAAGTCAAAAGACTATTCACCGGTTTTCAATGAATATCTCGAAATTTAAAGGAGGCTGGGTAAGCTAGTAGATGGACACTGCCCTGTAGATGGACAAACTACTTTTGGATAGGAAATTACGCAAAAAAAATGTTGAAATGTGAATTGCTGCTTTGAATTTTCACCAACGGTTGTGCAGGTTAAATTTCTGTAATATTACAAGAATTTTACCCTTACATTAATGAAGGTTTAATATATGTTGATCTAATTTTTTCAAATAATGTAATATTAATAATCTGATTTTTCTCGAATAATGATGTTTTTAATTATTATTGAATTATTCAACGATTATTGTAATTATTGTCGTTGGATTGAATTGCTGCAGCTAGTCAGTTGCATTTCAATTTTGGGGGGAACATGGCTAGTTGTGTAGCGAAGGGGTAAAACGGGGCAAGTCAAAAGACTATTCACCGGTTTCCAACGAATATCCCGAAATTTAAAGGAGGCTGGGTAAGCTAGTAGATGGACACTGCCCTGTAGATGGACAAACTACTTTTGGATAGGAAATTACGCAAAAAAAATGTTGAAATGTGAATTGTTGCTTAGAATTTTCACCAACGGTTGTGCAGGTTAAATTTCTGTAATATTACAAGAATTTAACCCTTACATTAATGAAGGTTTAATATNAACCCCACACCGCCTACGCTGATAGAAAATATTATTTTTATTGAGATGTTTCTTTCTCGAAATAAGTATTATATACTCGAGCCGATTTCAAATAAATAAGATCTTACAGTGAATATCAATTATTTCTTCTTGAGATACATTTACTCGAATCAAATAAAATNGTTGTGCAGGTTAAATTTCTGTAATATTACAAGAATTTAACCCTTACATTAATGAAGGTTTAATATATGTTGATCTAATTTTTTCAAATAATGTAATATTAATAATCTGATTTTTCTCGAATAATGATGTTTTTAATTATTATTGAATTATTCAACGATTATTGTAATTATTGTCGTTGGATTGAATTGCTGCAGCTAGTCAGTTGCATTTCAATTTTGGGGGGAACATGGCTAGTTGTGTAGCGAAGGGGTAAAACGGGGCAAGTCAAAAGACTATTCACCGGTTTCCAACGAATATCCCGAAATTTAAAGGAGGCTGGGTAAGCTAGTAGATGGACACTGCCCTATAGATGGACGAACTACTTTTGGATAGGAAATTACGCAAAAAAAATGTTGAAATGTGGATTGCTGCTTTGAATTTTCACCAACTGTTCTGCAGGCATCGCCATCAATATTCAATTTCTGTAATATTACAAGAATTTGACCCTTACATTAATGAAGGTTTAATATATGTTGATCTAATTTTTTCAAATAATATAATATTAACGTTTTTAATGCAAACAAATTCGCTCTACAAAAAAGGTGCGCTCTCCCGTAAATTCGGAGATTTGTCTCGTAATCTCAGCTAAGGGCTAAATTGACTTGAGTATATTCAAGTAGTTTTTACAGTTCGGTACAGACCACACTATAGAGTCAGCCATTTTCAATTATGAAATTTGTCAATTAAATTGCGTGAGAAAAATTTGAAAAAAAATCGAATATTCAGAGTTATTCAAATTACATTTTGCAAAGAATTATTTCTTTAATGATTCGTTATTTATAAATAAATAATTGAAATTGCTTAAACTATTGGAAACCGTATTTTTTACGGATGAAATCGATTTCTGGTAAAATTCTGAATATAAATAAATTTTCATAATTTTGAACAAATGATTTTTATGATGGAAAATTTATTGTTTATAAATTACTCATAGAATATACTCGTAATTTTAAAAACTTACTAATTTTTTTTCAAATCTTTAAAATGTCTTCTAACGGTTCAATCTCGAGATTCAAGTTTAGACCTGCAAAATTTAAATAATAAAATCATTGCAAAATGTCCGGAACCTTAGGATCCAATGGAGCTCAGATGAAAGCTCTGATGTTCAACTATAAAAGTAGAAAAGCATTTCACTGGAGCAAAAATAGCCAAAATACTTGGATATCTTTGAACCGTTTTACCGCTTGGCCACTGTTATTATACATACTTCGCATGTTTTAAAGATTATCGATGGGTGGAATTAATTCAGTAGTAAAGTGGCAAAACAGCATAGGCGAACTTCACTCTAGAATAGATCAGAGGGATAGCAAAATTGTGGTGGCCGGGGGGGGGAGCTCTTTCCTAGAGAAGAGGTCTGAGTGAGAAGCCTCGATGGCTTATTCAACTAATTAATCCATTTTTTATCTCTCGACGAGCCTCAAATTCTTCTTAATCGTCTATCTATAGGTCTCATCTACTAGGGTGCTAAAAACTTTGAAAAAACAACTCCATGTGGGGGATTAAAAGAATGTCAAATTAAATTTGGCGAATTCGCCACGGCTGCAATTAATGAATTTAAACCTTTTTAATACATCACACCTAATATCATGGATGGTAACATAGATGTACGGGTGGCCCCAACGGCACCTTCCTACTCGAGGCATTACAATTTTTAATAATCAAATAATCATAGTACTAAAAGTTAAATTTACGAGTGCATGGTAAGGCATTAATATCAAGCCCTACCAGCACTCAGTATCACCCAGGATTCGCGACGAGGACGCAGGTGGTGTAAACCCCACACCGCCTACGCTGATAGAAAATATTATTTTTATTGAGATGTTTCTTTCTCGAAATAAGTATTATATACTCGAGCCGATTTCAAATAAATAAGATCTTACAGTGAATATCAATTATTTCTTCTTGAGATACATTTACTCGAATCAAATAAAATAGTCTTTGGCGTCAAGTCACATGTATTCACCACAAAAATGGAAAAGTTCTATTTTTTTAAACCTAATATAATCTCCAGTCGAGAAATTTTCTACTTTGATGAATTGATCAAAAATTCGTACCTAGGAGATGATTACATTGAGGAATGAATTGAATGTTGTTTTCTCGAATGAAGCCGATATTTAAATTGAGCTTTTCGTACATCACATTGAACGAAATTTGTGATATCCAAGTTTGTGTTGAATTGCCGTAATCTGCGATTCTGTTATTGTGAACTAATGCGATTTTTTTAGTCAAGAAATATAAACTTCTTTCAACTCAACGACATCTTACTACAATCTCAAAGCTTTTTCCGCGTAACAATATTCATCCTGATTCGACATGCGAAATGCTCACATCAATTATAATTTACTTGGAACAACGTATGATCGTGTTGATTGAGATACCAACGTATTTAGTCATGAGAATAATTTTGATTTTTGAGTAAACCACCGAAATTCTGGAATTAGCAAACTTTTGGCTAGAAAGGGATCAAATACTCTCATTATTGCGACAAATAAAAGGAACTTCAATTCTAGAGAAGTTTGATTTATCCCAATCAAATGTATCTCAAGAGGAGATAACTGACATTCACTATGAAATCATGTTTATTTGAAAATTAACAACTAAATAATGGTTGCTTCGTATGATCGTGTTGATTGAGATACCAACGTATTTAGTCATGAGAATAATTTTGATTTTTGAGTAAACCACCGAAATTCTGGAATTAGCAAACTTTTGGCTAGAAAGGGATCAAATACTCTCATTATTGCGACAAATAAAAGGAACTTCAATTCTAGAGAAGTTTGATTTATCCCAATCAAATGTATCTCAAGAGGAGATAACTGACATTCACTATGAAATCATGTTTATTTGAAAATTAACAACTAAGTGATAGTTGGATCAAATAAAATTCTCTCGATATAACGAGGTGTTTTAGGCGTACAACCACCCTATGTATGACCTAACAAGTGAAAATTTTTGATATTTCAGATTGGCATAAATCCTGGACTATTCGCAGCGTACAAAGGCCATCACTATGCAGGACCTGGCAATCATTTCTGTGAGTAATAGCCATGTTTTACGAATCTCTCCCTCAATATTTTTTATTTTCCAACTTCGTCTCTAAACGCACAATTTGCGGTACCTACTGGAGCCATTATGCACGCATACGCGTGCGTGCGTTCTACATCTGACTGAGGGTAAAAAGGGTGGTGGTTTTGTGAGTGGTTGGAGAATCAGGGAGAGTGAGGGAGGGGAAAAAAAGTCATGGCAGTTGCTGCTGGGCTCGATTTTCCAGGGTTTTCCCGGGGGTTCGATAGTTCCGTAGTGGCAGGCGGAGGGTTGTGCAGGCTTGGTAAAAAGGGCAGAACGGGCGAACAACGAGTGGTTAGAGAGAGTTAACTATAATGAGCGTCGAGAGTTGGATGTGGAATGAAAATGGTGGGGATGGGGTAACCAGAAACGGGGAAGGGAGGTCAAAATGTTGAATGTTACCGAGAGTGGTGGCTGTCACTCTTATCTGGAAGATCTGAGGATCCGTTTAACGGGACATCCGCTGTAATTCACGTTTTTTTTTCGCCTTCTCTTCTCTCCTTTTTCGTCCATTGTAAATTTTTTATTGTCCCAATTTCGTGAATTTGTTTGTTGAGAGAGTTTTCGCCTGTTGGCTGCGCTGGGGAAACTTTCTTACGGGACTTGTGTCAGTGGGTTGAAATCTTATACTCTTGAAATTTTAGACTATCGTTCACGTCCTCAGTTTTTTATTGTAGATTGAGAGGGATAAATATTCAAGGTCGCCGCTGATGCTGAGTATTTGCTGGAATAGGTTTTTCATCGCTTGGGCGTAAAGTGACATTTTGCGCACAGTGGGATGAAAAATTGGGATCGACACTCGTGGGAAAAGAGTTGTTTGACACTTGAGAGGAGAGCACTCACTTTCGGTGAGCGCTGCACACCTCCCATGCGTCAAAAATAGTATATTTCGTAACGAGTGCAGAAAAGTGTTTTTTGGCGAGTGGGAGGTTTATATCACGAGCCGAAGGGGAGTGATATAATCCCACGAGTTAAAAAACATTTTTTCACGAGTAACGAACAATAGTTTTCATCACAATGTGGCGGAAATTGGACTTTTAGGCACGCGGAGCGTGCCGAAAAGTTCACTTTTCGTCACAGCGTGATGAAAACCATTTTTCATCACACTGTCCGTAAAATGTCCTTTTACGGATACTTTGTGTCCGCGAAACACGTTTACGAACATTGCGAAGAAAAATTATGTTCGTCACTCGGCCGAAAACAACTTTGTTATTAAGCCCGATAAACCGCGATTCTAACCTCTCGCTTCGCTCGGCCCAACGACATAAAATAGCGTATATCACACGGCGATAAAAACATTATCTGGCGAATGTGATTGTAATCCTCGCCGTCAGCTCGGATTATAAAGCCACATCCGCCAGATAATACTTTTATGGCCTTATGACATAAGATACTATTTCTGACTCGTGTGATTGCATTCCTCGGCTTGGCCGAGGTCGGCAACCTTCACACTCGTCAGAATAATATATTATGACAGTAATAGTATGAGAGACTCCCCCTCGTGCGTAAAATTTCGCTTTACGCACAAGTGATGAAAAACCCATTCAAGCAAATGCATATGCCGTGTACGTCTTCTCATTAAACCAAAAAATCCCCATCATCTTCCTGGAAGAATAGTATTTTTCGATACAAGTGCGTAAAAGTGTTTTTTGACCCGCGTTTTTTGTCTCAGTATAGTATGTCATTAGGCGATAAAAGTATTATCTGACGAATGTGATTATAATCAGAGACGAAGGCCGAGGCGCCTTCGGCTCGGATTATAAAGCCAACATTCGCCAGATAATGCTTTTATCGCCGTGTGATATACGCTATTTTATGTCGTTGGGCCCGAAAACCGCGATCTAACCGAGCGAAGCGAGGTTAGAATCGCGTTTTATCGGGCCTAATGACATAATCTTTTTCGTCACACTGTCCGTAAAACATCATTTACGAACATTATAACGAACAATTATGTTCGTCACTCGGACGAAAACAACTTTTCTGACTCGTGTGACTGCATTCCTCGTCTTCGCCTCGGTCTGCAACACTCACACTCGTTAGAAAAATTTTTTTTCGCCCTTGTGACGAAAATAGTTATTTCAACACTCGTGCGTAAAGTGAAATTTCACGCACGCTCTGCGTGCGCAAAATCCTACTTTCCACACATCGGGATGAAAAATAGGATTCGATACTCGTGGGAAAAGTGCTCTTTGACCCTTAAGAGGTCCACCTCCCACGGGTCAAAAAACACTTTTACGCACTTGTATCGAAAAATACTATTTTTCCAGGAAGATGATGAGGAATTAATGGAGTAATGAGAAGACGTACATGGCATATGCATTTGCTTGAAGGGGTTTTTCATCACTTGTGCGTAAAGTGAAATTTAACGCACGAGGAGGAGTCACAGCACTTTTTTCATGTATCAGAAGTTTTTACTATTTTAGCTTCAGTTTCTTCTTTTATTTGTGAAAAAGTGTAGACATGACATATCGTGAAATTTTCATTTTTCAATAATATATTTTGAAATAAATTAATAAACGGAATTGAGTGGTTTCAAAAATATTCAAAATTGAAGGACTAATAATAGGGTTTTCACGAGTCGAAAAAAAAGAAAAATTACGATTTTTGATTGGAAAAGCAAAAAAAAAATTTCGGATGCATATTTTCATTACAAAAGTCAATGTAACGTGAACGAGGGATTCAAAATCTCCCCCCTCCCCTCTTTTTCTCTTCCTACATCGGTCAATTCCATTTTCCAAAGAGGGACCAGCTTATGGAGTCACAATTCTGGATATTATTTTCCAAATTTATTGTAATTTGATTATTGGTTGAGCTTTCGGGGATGAAAATATCCATAGGATTCATTTTTTTTTTCAATTTCTTCTCAAAAAGTGGCAGTCTTGATTTTTTCGACTCGTAAAAACCCCACTAGTCCTACAGTATTCAATATTTTTCAACGAATGTTTTTTGTGTATGAATATGAATTTGAAATTACTCAATTCCTTCTGTTAAATAAAAAATTTATGTTATTGAAAAATTAAAATTTCATGATGATTCATGTCCACATTTTTTTACATAAAAAAGAAATTGGAAAAAAAATTACCGAAATTCTCCATCAAATACTTATGGTAATTCTAAAAAGTGATGTGACCCCCGTCCTTAATCCTTGTAAAGACAATTCCTTCGTGTTCAAGACGTTGATGAGATTGAAGGTTGTAACTTGTAAATGGCATTTTCAAAAAACAAGGCAATTTCGTCTTGAATGAGGTATAAGAGGACGTTGTCAGTTGAGATTCATTTTGCTAACGGTTTTTAACAAATGGGGCAGCACAAGTCTTTTTTAATTTCAGGCGGATATTTTTGTAATGATTGCATTTACAACCTTCGATCTCATCAATTTCTCGCCCAGAAAGAAGAATTTGTTAAGTTCGGAACACTTTTCTCCATTTTGGAAAATTTTCCCTTTTGTGTAAGTACACTGTTAGAAATTTTTTGAAATTTCATGGACGATATTATAGCAAATCTTATGAGAGTGACATTGAATCGGATTTAGGGAAAAAGTGGTTACGAAATTTCAAGTTTTAAGTAGAATTCCCAGAAATCCATAAGTTTCCAGTGGGAGTGACATGGAAATTTCACAACTGGAATGAATTTTCAGTGGAACATGAATATTCAGAATCAAAATGACCTGAATTTTCAATTGTTCCTCGAATTTTCCTGATTTTTCTGAATTTTCACAGAATAATTGAACAGAAAAATCAAGTATTTTATTGGCTTCCAGATCATTCGAATAGAAAATCAACGGGATATTTGATTTTTCAATGACATAATTTCCTGAAATTTCAGTGGAACTTGAATACGATAAAAATTTCCGGAATTTGGCACGGAAAATTCAGACGAATATTTTCAGCAGTGTATTTGAAATACTTCCGGAAAACTAAAAATAAAAGAAGAAATAAAGATGCTGGAGAAAAAGCACCGCTGAGTGCTCGAAAAACCATCCGCTTTGCCACTTTTGTCATGTTCTGTGGCCCCAGAAGATGAGAAGCATCAAAGGAGGGATTTACCAAGCACCCTCTCTCTGTCGGTCTCCGGGACCTTTCGTTCCAGCCGTCACGATTCACCCTCGAACCGTTGTTGGGAGATGGACGTAACATGGAGGGGTAAAAAGGGAAACCGGGCGAGGGCGATGAGGGTCGAAGGGCGGCGAGCGCTGCTGGAGGAGGACGCCAGCACGACTAGTCGCTCGATAGCAGCTTTGTGCACGCTCACCGGGGCCCTCTTTTACTCCTTTCCTGTCCTGCGCTTTAGATCCAAAAAAGAAAAAAGTTCAGCTAAAAAAGAGAGACCGAGAAAAAAATGTTCATACGAACATCAACAAATCTTCGAATCCATTCGTAGTCTTTCTTCTTTCATTGAAATGTCTTGTGGAAGGGTACGAGAAGATGTTTAGACTAGTTGCTACACACATACCCACACACTTTTGAATAATTAATAAAAAATCCAAAACTCCCAGACGGAAAAATTTATATTTTGAAAAATATATAAAAATATATCTTAAATTGGCCCAATTTATATTTAAAAAAATACATAAAATATATTTTTTTAAACATTCTTTATCAATTTGACAAATATATGGAATTGGCTCATATGATATATTTTTTAAATATATTCTTTGATGGGAGTTAAATTTGAACGATTAAAAAGCTTCCATTCGAAAGCGAAAACGTTCTGAATTCATTGAATGGCTTAAAAAAATCATTTGGATGTCTCTTTGACCGAGTTCGAAGATGAAGGCGATCACTGCAATCGTCGTTTCAATTTTTAGAATAATTTTGTATTTTATAAAAATCACAATTCCGAGGATATCTTTGTATAGAGCGCTCTAAAGTCATTCAATGATAGGTGCAAATATTAGTTTCAAAGCTACTCTGTCAAAGTTGAACAACAACACAGTTGATATAGGTATTATTACGATACCTATATTCGTTAGTTTGATTGTTATAATGATTTTTGTAAATTTAGAATTTTTCGTAAATTGATTTGACAGTCAACTTTATGGGGGTTTCTTCAAATATGATGTTTTAATTGCATTCCTTAATACAGATTGCAATTATTTTTCCATTCGATTTGTAAAAGATTTCGGAAATTATTCTCAGAGCATTCAAAGGTTTGTTGATTTTCCATCTTTTGGAAAATTAAATTATCATTTCACTTTTGGAGAATAAATGGATGGGATAGATATCTATTATTTCATATTTGACATTTCATTGAATTTAATAAAATAATATGGAACGATTAATTATATACTATAGGAGCAGATTATTAATTTATTAAAACGACCTACTTTGGGATGAAATATATCGCTAATTTATTATCAAAAAACCCTACTAAATTAATATAAAAGCAATTCCTCCGTTTAATCTCAAAATAAAGTTATGAAACAGAAATTGAATTGAATCATTTCATTGTTTCCTCTTCAATTCAATTGTTCTCTCTTCAATCTCACAGTCGTTGTTCCTTACATTCTCTCAACAATTATAATCCTCAAAATTTTCACTTCATATGGAGCAACAACTGGAGAATAATCTCCCGTTATCCATCCACAGAGAACCTCTTCAATTGACAGTTGTGGAAAATAAAATTTCCCTAGCAACTGAAAATTGAGTTTGAATAAAAAAAAGAAAGGTAAAAATTGATTCAATGATTATTAAAACGACCTACTTTGGGATAAAATATATTGCTAATTTATTATCAAAAAACCCTACTAGATTAATATAAAAGCAATTCCCCCGTTTAATCTCAAAATACAGTTATGAAACAGAAATTGAATTGAATCATTTCATTGTTTCCTCTTCAATTTAATTATTCTCCAATCTCAGAGTCGTTGTTCCTTACATTCTCTCAACAATTATAATCCTCAAAATTTTCACTTCATATGGTGCAACAACTGGAGAATAATCTCCCATTATCCATCCACAGAGAACCTCTTCAATTGACAGTTGTGGAGGATAAAATTTCCCTAACAACTGAAAATTGATTTTCCAGGCGCGGCCAAACTCCTCGGTGTCCGGAACGACGCTGGGTGCACAGGTTACCATCGACCTGCGTTCTGGTTTCAGTACCTGACCGGCGCATTCGCCATCGCGAATAAAATAACAGAATGAAAAATAAAGTCCGTAGATTATAAATTGAGCTGGATTATCTGTTCTGTTTGGTACTGCTTCTTGCATTGCTTTCAATGTGGGTCAATACATCATTCGTGAGCCATCAGCTCTGGTTGATCCAGGTTAGTGCTGCTCTGGAGGAAGAGAAAAAAAAGTCGCGGAAGAATATCTGGATGAATGCGAGGGTTGATGGGCTCCTCTTCATGACATACTTTCTGTTTCAATCGATTCAATTCAGTGAAAAATATCCCGAGATATCGTTGGAGAGAGTGATTCTGTGCCTCTCTCTATCCTCTCGACCAGTTAACTTTGTTCCGAAGTTCAGCCAAGGTCGCGGCGCGCCGGGGCTATTCGCTTCTCCCTACTTTAGTGTGAGTCGGGGTAGTTGTTACTTCCCTCAACTGCACCCCCGTCCCTCTCAACCAACCGACGAGAGTTTCCGTGAAGTCATAAATTCCTTGTATAACCCACCAACTCATCCGACAATTTTACACTCCTTCACTATTTCTTACTCCATCCCAAGGCAACAACCCCTGCATATCACCGTCTTACTTTGAAACTCGTGAAAATTTCTGTGCCAACTATTCCCCTTACCATTGCCCTCCATACTCTCACTGAAAAGTTTGTCTCCTACTTTTCAGTTTACCCAACTATGTGGATCATTTGGAGTTTTTTTTTAGGTGTTCCGCATTGTTTCTGTTTGGGGGTGATTCTCGCTCTGAATGCACTTTATGCTGATGAAATAGCGGTGATTTCTTAATTACAACTAGAAAATGTCAACTTATTTTAAAATTTGAAAGGGCTGAAATAAGATTTTTAAATGTCTTAATTTGAAAGCCTCAATTTGAGACGTCAATTTAAGACTTTTGAAAGTCTTAATTTGAGACTTTGGAACGTCTCAATTTAAGTCTTTGGAACGTCTCAATTTAAGTCTTTATTTTTTTAATAATTTGTTATTTAGAGTATTTGAATCTACCGATTTGGTGAATTACGAATAATACGAATATTTCGCGATGTACAAAAAAAATAAGAATACTAATATAATTCATGCATACGTAATTAACGTTAATACATGATGGTTTCTATTTTGTGGTTGATAGATCTCACATTATGCATATAGATATTTAAATGAGCAATAAATATTAAAGATTTATATGAGCAATATGAGATCTATCAACCACTTTTTTGGAAAGTAATCGGACGATAACGACCACATACCCTTGATCCTATTAATTCTTATAATTTTCTCAAACTCCAAACTCTACCTACCAGCCAATCGGAATTTAACGGGCAAAGACAGAAACATCATTAACGCCGATTTATTTTTTATCACCCAGTCGGAAATAATCGGACTGTTTTGCCAGGGAAGTAGTCGTCAGATAAATCAAGAACTCGACCTCACTAGCTGCCAAATTTTGAAAGTTTGGAGTTGAATTTTTGGGAGGATTTTCAATTAGTCAAGTCTTCAAAAGATTTAAATAATTCATTGGTTCAAATTTGTGCCAAAAAAATAGGAATGCAAATTTTTTTGAATTTTTCACTCACGCAATTTTTATTTCAAAAGAAAAAATCGAAAAACGACGGGGATCCCCTCATTGTGCGACCAGTTAAGGGTTAAAGGGATTTCTGACAGTCTCAATTTGAGATCATAAGTCTCAAAATAAAGTCGGTTTTTTTAGTGTACTTGATTGGCTTTACTCAGTTCCTTCCTTTGGACTGTTAAAATTCACTTGTCATTTTTATGGGAAAAACAACATATCTCTCATAAAACTTATTGTTATCAGGGAAATGTCTACACTTGAGTGGCTTAACACCCGAGCCACTGACATCGGACGATGATTTCAAGCTGTTGCGTTTGGGAATTGGTTTCACAAATATGGTTGCACGTGCGACGAAGGGCAGTGCTGACCTCACGAGGAAAGAGATCAAAGAAGGTCAGTATAATGATTAATAACGATGAATTTAATACCAGAATCCAGTTTCTGCTGGACATATAAAAAATTTCTCAGAATAATTCAGTAGCGAAGTGGTAAAACTGTTTGAGTCGATTTATCTCCCAAGTGAGTTTTTGAGGAATATTATCGAATCTAAGGGAGATAGCGAAATTTTCGTAATTACATTTGTTGTAGCTCTCAATCGGCTCTACAAAAAAGGATATAAGAAAAATTTTGCTATCTCCCTTAGATTCCGAGATATTCGTTAAAAACTGGCCAATAGTCAAAATTGACTTGAACCGTTTTACCACTTCGTTACTGAATTCTTTTAAGGCATAATTCTTTTAAGGTGCTTTTATCGACAAGTACCACAAGTACTACAAAAGTATTGGATCGACAATTTTGGCAATTTTTTTGCAATTGCTTCTTTATGTTGAAAAAAGTGTAGGCATGAAACATCATGAAATTTTGATTTTTCATTAACGTTCATTTTTTATTAAAATGGATTAAGCACACTTTTTTCAAGTACTAAAAGTATTGGATGGAAACTTTCGGCGATTTAAAAAAAAATTTCTTCTTTATTTTAAAAAGTGTAGGCATGAAATGTCATGAAATTTTCATCTTTCAATAACATTCTTTTTTTATTCAACAGAAGGAATTGCGTAATTTTAAATTCCATACGATTGGTTTTGCGGAAAATCATATCGAATACCGAAAGAATATTTCGTTGAATAATATTGAAAATTGTAGAACTTGTAGGAATTTTACGAATCGAAAAAATATGCATCCCAAGTTTTTTTTTGCTTTTCGTAAAAATTTTACTCGTCCGCCAATTTTCAATATTTTTCAACGAAATTTTGTTTGCATATTCGATGTCATCTTCCGCAAAATCAGTCGTATGGAATTTGAAATTACTCAATTCCTCGTGTTGAATAAAAAAAGAATGTTATTGAAAACGGAAAATTTCGTGATATTTCATGCCTACACTTTTTTAAATAAAGAAAAAATTTTTAAAAACCGCCGAAATTTTCCACCAAATACTTTTAGTACTTGAAGAAAGTGGTGTACTTCAACGGTTTTACCGCTTGAAATTTAAATTATTCATAGATATCCATTAATCTGACTCCTCACAATCTAATCAGCGAGAGAGTCTCAACAAAGTATCAAACTATTCCCCAGTGATTTAGTACCGAAGATCCCAACCCTTCATCTCCTATAACCGAGTTTCCTCGAAATTCCAAAGTAGTCGAACACAGTTAAATGAAAGTGAACTCAAGGCTGGCCTCGAAACTATCCCCCGGCTACTGACACCATTTACCCGACAAACTGACCCTTACCGTCATTCCCAATGTCTATCCTTTCCGGCCGATTGAAATGGAACTTCTTCTGCTTCTTCCCCATTTTTATTGTTCCGTTTGCTGTGGAATGAGGATTTTGAGGGAATACATTTCTCATTTCAGGTAGCAGCGTATTACTCGAAAAATTGAAAAAGTACAAGCCAAAAATAGCAGTATTCAATGGTAAACTCATCTACGAAGTATTTTCTGGTAAAAAGGAGTTTGGATTTGGTAGACAACCGAATCTCGTAGAAGGCACGAACACAGTGAGTACTTGAATAATTTTTTTAATAATTGTAGGGGAACAATGCCGGCAATCAAATAAGGTTCTGGAGAATAGCAATTTTGCTTGTTTTTCACTACGAAAAACGGAAAGTTCTACTTGACTGGGATTTTCAATACTCAATTGAACACATGGAGAATAAGTTTGAAAAAAATTACTAAACAAATTGAGTATTCGTGACGCGGAATTCATTTCTAGGTCTTTTCTTCAACTTATATCGGGGAAAAAATAATGAAAATATAGACGGATTCACGTCAATAAATCTAGATATTTCCTCTTCCACAATAGCCCAAAAATGTAGGGGTGAGTGGGGCAAAATAAAACAGTCAAAAAAAACGACTGACGCAATTCGAGCAAAAAAAATTTTTATTACTTTTTTTGCCAACTTTTTTTCATTCTTGGGAGTACTGATGAGAATCATAATTTTCCATTCAGTAGAACTCTGGATTTTGCATTTTGGTGTTTCATTTTCTTTTCAATTAATGCATTGACAAAATCTTCGCCCGTTCAAACTTCTCAACAATTTTTCATTATACTAAATGAAAAATTATTATTCTCATCAGGGCTCCCAAGAATAAAAAAAGTTAATAAAAAAAATTTTTTCCTTCAATTCCGTCAGTCGTTTTTTTGAAAATAATTGTAGGGGAATAATGCCAGCAATCAAATAAGTTTCTACTTGACTGGGATTTTCAATACTCAATTGAACACATGGAGAATAAGTTTGAAAAAAATTACTAAACAAATTGAGTATTCGTGACGCGGAATTCATCTCTAGGTCTTTTCTTCCACTTATATCGGGGAAAAAATAATGAGAATATAGACGGATTCACATAAATAAATCTAGATATTTCCTCCACCACAATACCCCAAAAATATAAGGGAGAGTGGGGCAAAATGAAACAGTCAAAAAAACGACTGTTTGACGCAAAGCAAAAAAAAATTGTTATTAATTTTTTTTGTCAACTTTTTTTTATTCTTGGGAGTACTAATGAGAATCATAATTTTCCATTCAGTAGAATGGAAAATTATTGAGAAGTCCTGATAAGTAAAGATTTTGTCAATGGATTATTCGATTAAAATTCAGCATCACATTTTCCTTTTTCCCCCTCTGGGCTTTCCCCAGGGCCTCGCTCTGGAGTTTGCATTTTGCTGTTTCATTTTCCTTTCAATTAATCCATTGGCAAAATCTTTCATTCCCATTTTTCATTTTTCATTTTTCATTCCCATCAGTGCTCCCAGGAATAAGAAAAAGTCGATAAAAAAATATTTAATAAAAAAAATTTGTTTTGCTTAAATTTCGTCAAACAGTCGTATTTCCGACTGTTTCATTCTGCCCCCCTCTCCCCTGAACCTTCGCAACCGAATAATCCCCCGATAAATCCAAATCAGTCCCACCAATTAACCCAACTCTCTTTCCACTTCCAGTACATGTGGGTGATGCCATCGAGCAGCGCAAGATGCGCCCAATTACCTCGAGCAGCCGACAAAGTTCCTTACTACGCCGCCCTGAAGAAATTCCGTGACTACCTAAACGGCACAATCTCCCACATAGAGGAATCGGACATTGTCTTCGCCGACACTAAAATAAAGAAACGCGAGCACGATGCACTCGAGGAGAAGAAGCACTTCCCGGACGACCTGGACGGTGAGAACCGATTATCAGACTCCAAGGATCAGGGTTTGATACCAGGTAAAAAGAAACGTGGCAGGCCAAAGAAGATAAAGAACCCAGACGATGTGCCCCAGCCAGAGCCAGAGAAGCTGGACGGTAACGGTGAGATTGTGAAGAAACGTCGAGGCAGGCCCAAGAAAATTCACCAGCAGCAGAAGCAGCAGGAGCGAGAGGCGAGAGAGCGCGACCAGCTGGTGCAGCAGCAGCAGCAACAGCAGCACCAGCAGCACCAGCAGCAAGTCCAGCAGCAGCAACAGCAGCAGCAGCAGCACCACCACCAAAATCAAAGCCAACACCACCACTCCATGGGGCACATGGGTGACTACGGAAACCTGCCAAACTGCTTCTCCCCCCCGAAGCCCTTCGCCCACATGGCCCCCTACCCCCAACAAATGAGTGATTCCAATTTCTACGGGCAAACAATGAACGACAGCCCGTACACAATGAGCTCAAAACACAGTCCAGTGCACCTCCAACACTACAGTCAGAGTCCAAAGTCAATGTCCCTGTCGTTCACCCACTCAGACCTGTCGTCTGAAATAAACACTGGTATCTCATCGGAGAACAATCTCGAGCCCTCGCCATTAACATCACCAAGTATTGAGCACCCAGATTTCGAGCCACCAACGAGTATCTCTCAGAATTTAACTAGCCATCGTCAATACAATCCAACGAGTGGTGATTCAGTACATCATGGCAGCAGTCCTGATACCCCCTCCCACTCAAGTTACACGAGTTATATGGGTTTTCACGATCAATCAACACCAGAATCACACACTGGCCATCAACACCAAACAACACCAACGGGAATGAGTCAGAGTACTGAAGAGCTCTCGCATCATTCACATCAGACACCACCGCTCAATCACTCACACACACCAACACACACGTCAATGTCACCCCATCCACACGAACAATTTGGTATGAAACGCAATGCAAATCAGGATGTTGCATCAAAGAGTCTGAGTGATTTAGAATCACTTGTCGATCAAATACCGAGTATAACTGATGGAGGTGGTAATCAGCGTTTGCATTCACAAAGTGGTATGTCTGATGACGGTTTAAATGATAAACTCGATCATCATCAGTCGTATCTTGGCTTCAATACACAAACTATGACAAATTACAGTCCACCATTGAGCACCACTGGTGTTTATCCAGGTACACACTTGTATGCTGGGGATAATTATGGTATTTATAGCAATGGTAGGCAGGATGTACAGCAGGGACAGCAGCACAGTAAATCGTACACAGTCGAAAATTTAGCATCGAGTAATTATACACCTAGTATGAATCAATCTGGCAATTACACTAATATTATTCCAGGACCCCATTATCCAGTACCAACAATGGGCTCGACAAATGGCTATCTGTTTGGTGGCCTTGAATCAAGTTTAATGCAACGTACTTATGGTATGAGTGGTATGAGTGGTATGCATCCATCACTTGGACACATGGCTAATCCATATCCATACAATACCTCTTATTCAAGTTCATTCGATAGTTATCCAACACCACCTGGTGGTATACATGCACCAAGTCCCAATTATCCTGGTGGCTATGCAAGTTCAACAAATTCACCAACTGGTCATTCAACACCACCTTCATACCTTCAATCACATCACAGGCCACCTGTTGATCTTGCTTATGACGGTGTATGATAATTATTGTGAAATTTTACAGAGAAATGCAAAATTATATATGTGTTTAAATACCTTTTTACGATTAGTCAAACCTGGAATAATTACATTTTCTACGTATTTTTACACTTATAGAATTTTTCTCATCATTCAGTTGATTGTTTTAATTTTCACAACTCGATTTAATCGTTGATTTGTATAACGCTCTTGGCATTACATACATTTGGGTAGATTACTTTAGGGGGAGAGATTGCTCTCATGACACGAATTTCTTTTTTTTTTATTTAGAATTTAATCTAGTCCACCGCCGTAGCGAACATCGTTTGACTCGGTCGGTGTTTAATCATGCTCCTGTTGACTTTACGCAGGATTTTCGTGCATTACATAGTTTTTCTTTTTTTTTTCTTCTTTTTTTCCTCTTGGAGATCAGTGAGATTGGTCGATTTGCGGGGGGGGGGGTCAGTGTCGATTGATAAGTGCGATTTATGCTCAAGTTTTTTATTAACTCTCTTGTGTACGGTGTACACTGATGAATCGTTGAGAGAATGTATGCAGATTAGTGTCATTCGTCATTGAACGCCACGGAATATACTATTTTTTAAGGCCAGTTTGGGTGCTAAACGAGTGTGCAATTGAGCAATCGTACGGTGTTTTATTCCTGAATTATACATTGTTGTTATTGTTGTTGTTATATTGTTATTGCCCTTTGAAAGCGCTTAACTTCATCGAGTTCATTATCATTAGTTATTAATTTTCTTTTCTCTTTTATGGGGAGGTAATTCCGTGAGGTTTGAGGGAATTTGAAGGGGTCAGCCACTGAAATTACCGATGTCAACGGTCGACAGGTGACTGCTAATGTTGAAACGGCGGATTATTTTCATCCAGATGCCGATGCAGGGACTGCTCCACTCAGATATCCTCTTCCAATAAAAAATGCGTTTCTTCTCTGCATACAATTTGTTGTAGGATGAATTTTCAATCAGTCGTAGGGGAGAGGGGGGCCAAATGAAACAGCCGGAAAACGACTGTTTGACGCAATTCAAGCAACAAAATTTTTATTATCAACTTTTTTTATGTTTGGGAGTACTAGTGAGAATAATAATTTTTTTTCCGGTAGAAAAGAACGTGCGGCGCTAAAAAAGCACTGACATTCGAAACCCGTTTTTCATATATTTTTTATATCAAGACGACAATATTAATAATTTTCCCTAATTTTATCCACAATTCTCTTCAAATAATACGAATATTTCATCTATAATTTAATTGATTAGATTAGGGTGATGACACTTTTCTTTTTTCATTCTATTGAAATTGAGTATTATATTTTTTCTTTCCCCTTCTGGACTTTGGATTTTACTGTTTCATTTTCTTTTCAATTAATCCATTGACAAAATCCCCCGAGAAAAATTCCCAATAATTTTCCATTTTACTGAATACAAAATTATTATTCTCATCAGTACTCCCAATAATAAAAAAAAGTTAACCAACAAAAGTTGATAAAAAAATTGTTGTTTCATTGCTCCGTTGCTTTATTTTGCTCCACTCTCGCCTACGTTTCCACCGTAGTTTGGGAATTCATTGGTGTCCATTACAGCATTGACTCAGACATCTCACTGATCTCCAATTCCCTTGCGGTCGTTGTAAATAATAAAATTAAATCAATTCGAGTGAAACGAATTTTAAATAAGGTTCAATGGCCAATACCGCCAAATAAAAAAGTAAAATGCATCATCGTGCATTTTTAAAAAACTAGCTAATGAGATGATAAATAAAGAAAATATACATATATAAAGAAAATGGAAGTTTCAAACTAGTGTGATCAATCGAAACAGCTTGAGCTGAAACACAATGTACAACACATCTTCACTTTATTCGCATAATCGTCCCGGCGTTTCTCCATTGATGTTGTTATCATTGTCATTGACGGCTAATTGTCACGTGATAAACCAAACATGAATTTAAAGAGCAATTACAATTTTGTGAAATTCAGTGAAATGATCTTCATCATCGACTCTAATATCACGAATTGGTGATAATGAATTTATCACTTTTTTGCAGTGCAATGAAAAAGTGAGGAATGTAAATCAACGAGAACCAGTGACGATGATGAAGACTCATCAGCACGATTATTGCATAATTACCGTGAATTAATATCGCGTTACGTTACGTTTTTCATGCCATAATTAATATTCTAATTTTCGTTTATTTTCCACCAATCAGTTACTGTAATCGCGATTTACCCACAACTGATGCATAGATGTATTGATTTATTAAAGTATAAAAGGATGAATCGACGAATAACAATATTGTTCTCATAAGTGTACGAGACCCATTAAAAAAAAAATGAAGTAACATCCATTGAAGCTGTAATGTCGCTGTAAAATTATGCATCGGTTTTATTATAATAAATCATAAATATAGATTTAAAAATTAAAGAAGATAAAACAGATATATATGTATAAATATAAATATAAATATATAAATAATTACATTTGAATAGCCCATGTAGTAATGGAGATGAACCATTTTCTCGTGATGAGAGGGATTAATCATTGATAACTCTTCGCAGACTCGGTGGTGTCGATGGGGTAATGATGATGCATACAAAGGAGAATAAATAAATAAATGGGAAAAACAAAAGTAAATTGGACGTTTTAAAGTGATGCACAGGGTATAAATGAAGTCGTTGATTATGATAATGCTGTCTATATATACATAAGTATTATAGATGTTTCTTTCTGTTCTATCGGCCTCAAGATTGCGAATCAATCGAAAGCTATCCATAGATGTTTAAATAAATGAATTATTGCAAATAACGGGAGCCGTCTGTGGTTCTCTGATTAAAAATGGTAATAATCAGTGTCGTAAGTGTTAATTCCTTGAATCACGCGATCACTTGCTGTATTGATTTTTCATTTACAAATTGATATAAATTCATCCTAGGGAACCATTGCAACAGCAATAATGAGTAAGAATAAAGTCGATACCATAACTCACTGTAAATTAATATTAAATTAATAAAGACAAGTAATAGTTAAGTTGGTATACAGTAAATATTTGAGGGGAGAGATCATTGCTGTTGCAACACATTCGAGTTTAACTGAGGAATAATATGAGCGAAAAAGAGCTTGGGCCTGGTGGATTATCTGGGCCAAACAATATTTTTTAATCGCTTGAGGATTGGGTGAAAACTCGAGGAAATAAAACAAAGTAAATGAATGAGTAAATAAATAAATTATTTAATTGTTCGAAAAAATTCAAGTGTTTTGCCGGCTTTTTATCTTTAAAAACGATGTACTTCTATTTCGATTTCACTCTTCAGCGGTTGGTTGAACGATCAGGTGTGCTCGAGTGAGAATACAGTATTGTCTGGGTAATAGGAAAATTTCAATGTGGATTGAATGCAAATAATGTAGCTTCGCGGGATAATTTGGAATCGAAAGCCCTCCAATCTGTGTTCAGATAATTCAGGGCATTGGAATTTATTTCAAATCCCTGAATTTCAATGTGTGACATCAACTTTTTCGGAATTGAATGGGAATTTGAGGAACATTGAGAAACAGTTTTTGCATGAATTATTGTTTGATTAAGGGGGTCACATAGCTTTTTTCAAGTACCACAAGTATTTGATGGGAAATTTTGGCAATTTTTTGTCAATTTCTTATTTATGTCAAAAAGTGTGGGCATGAAATATCATGAAATTGGCATTTTTCAATAACATTATTTTTTTATTTAACAGAAGAAAATGAGGAATTTCAAATTCCATGCGATTGATTTTGCGAAAGGTCATAGCGAATGGACAAAAAAATTTTCGTTGAAAAATATTGAAAATTGTAGGACTAGTAGAGCTTTTACGAATTGAAAATATCGAAAATCGTCATTTTTCGTTTTTTTTCGACTCTTAAAAGCAGTGCAAGTATCTCATGGGAAATTCCGACAATTTTTTTTCAGTTTCTTCTTTGAATCAAAAAAAAAGTGTAGGCTTGAAACTTCATGAAATTTTCATTTTTTAATAACATTCATTTTTTATTTAACAGAAGGAGATGAGTAATTTCAAATTCCATAAGATTGAGTTTTTAGAAGTTCATATCGAATACACAAAAAAAATTTCGCTGAAAAATATTGAAAATTGAAGGAATTGTACAGTTTTTACGAGTCGAAAAATCGAAAAATGCCAATTTTCGATACAAAATTGAAAAAAAAATGATTTGATGGATATTTTTATCACAGAAAGCTCAACCAATAATCAAATTACAATAAATCTGAACTTTTATGATGAAAATATGCATCCGAAGTTTTTTTGCTTTTGCTATCGAAAATCGTCATTTCTCGTTTTTTTTAACTCGTAAAAACCCCACTAGCCCTTTAATTTTCGATATTTTTCAACGAAATTTTTTTTTGTGTATTCCATATGACGGTTACGGTCAAAATATTATGCAATAATCTTACGGGACAAATGTTCATGCCTCCACTTATTTTTAAAATAGAGAAGAAATTTTTAAAAAATCGAAATTTTCCATCAAATACCTCTGGTACTTGAAAAAAGTGGTGTACCCCCTTAACTAAACTAGCGAATCCATCCAGTTCTCCTGAAAGACTTCTCCCTGAATTGTCTCAATCACGAGGTCTTCAGACACATTGACTTTGTTCTCCACCAAAATTACAAAATTCGCTCAAATTGAAAAAAAAACGAAAAGAAAAAAACTGACGACAGAAGGCTCTGTAGATCCCGATCCTTCGAACTAATCCGTTGATCTATTTGCGATGTATTTTTTTACAAATCCTTGATGTCCAAACTTGCATTAACAAGGCTATGAAACGAAAAATTCGAGAAAGAAATAAAAAACAACTTAAAAATTGAAGTCAAGATGTAAGTAATATTCAGTAGTCAAGTGTGAGTGAGATTGGTGAGGTGCGAGTGAGTGAATGGGTGAAAAATTTATTGTCCGTTTAATTGAACGTTCAAAGTAGTAAACGATTTTTATGCTGAACGTACAAACTGTGTATGTTTACTTGGTACAAAGATAAAAAATTGAGATTCAAGTCATCGCAACAGAAACTTTCTCATTGCTTCACTGATATTTTATGATTATTCTTTAGTTTGACCCTGTTATGTTGAGCAATAGAGGACCCGAGGGGCTATTCACATATGGGATGAATGGGATGGGATGGGTTTGATGATTTTTTCATTTCCTGTGATTTCTTAATAAGAATTATAAATCATGATTTCAGTAGCGAAGTGATCAAACGGTTTAAGTCGACTTAGCTGAGTTTTCGAGGAATATCTCCAAATCTAAGGAAGATAGCGAAATTTCCGCTTCTATCTTTTTTGAAGCTCTCAATGTCCTCTACCGAAAAGGTCATAACAGAAATTTTGCTATCTGCCTTAGATTGCGAGATATTCATTGAAAACTCACGAATAGTCAAAATCGACTTGAACGGTTTGACTAATTCGCTTCTGATTTCCTTTAATCTTTCGTGATTTCCATGATTTCGGGGAACTAAAGAGTTGAAGGGCCTCATGGATGTGATAGTAAGAATCAAATGACATGTGCATAAGAAGGTCATGAGGGTCAGAGGGGACCGTATGAGTGAGCTCGGATAAAAAATTTGGGTTTCACTGTCATCGACGATTTCTAATTATTTCTGAAATCACCTGATTTCTTTGTGATTTCCACTGATTTCCGATGATTTCCAGAAGTCATTAGAAATCACTGCCGAAGTGGAAATCACTTGATTTCCAGTGATTTCCTAAGTGACCAGCCCCTCGAGAGGACCTTATTCCTATTGGATTTTGACATGACATCGAAACTCAAAGACGTTCAATACGTTTTTGCATAGTTTATGATGGAGATTCCCATCATCATGAAACTGTGGATTTATTCTCGATGGAAATGCAGAGAGGAATTCAAAGCATTCAGCTCTCATCGTTCTAGTCTTGTTCTTGATGTCTATAATTGTCGCAGTGTGAACAGTATTTCCAGCAGCTCCGATCGATCATTCGGTGTTGAACACATTTATTGTTTTTAAATTATTGCAAAACGGGGGGGGGGAACTACTACTTTTGAAGTTAGGTGAACCTAGCGAAGATATCTGAGACATTTATGATCATTCTTCAACTCTGGCGAGTTTTCAAACAAAAAATGGGTTCAATTCAGTAGTGAAAGGGTGAAATAGTTTACGTCGACTTAACTTTTAGCTGGGTTTTTGAGGAATATTTCTGAATCTGAGAGAAACAGCGTAATTTTGGTAATGACCTTTTTTGGAGCTCTTAATCCGCTCTACAAAAAAGATTTCAACAAAAATTTTGATATCTGCCTTAGATTCCGAAATATTAATTAAAAACCGACCAATAGTAAAAAATGACTTGAACCGTTTTACCGTTTTGCTACGGAATTATACGAAATTCAAGGGGAATATTTCATCATTAATTCTCTAAAATCACAAAAACATTCATTAAAAGTAATATGTTTCAATAGAAATCATGGAAATCCTCCAAATTATTTATCAAATGTTGAGTGACGTGTACGCAAAAGTTCGAAGTCTCCAGAAATCTGAGAAGAAAAAATTCATCAACTGATCGACGATGGAATTAAGACAATTGATAATTTAATTAGCACTTCCGTGCATTCCAAGAACTCCATTTATAATTGTCGCTGTGTGACCAGTATTTTTAAAAAATGATGCAGACTGAAATGTTTGCAAAACGTCGGAAAAAAGACAAATCTAGATGGAAGCCACAACAATAAATAGTATTTTCAACAGTTCCAATCAATCATTCGGTGTTGAATAAATTAATTACTTTCAAATTATCGCAAAACTCGGATTCAACTCTTCTACATCTGAAGTTAGGTGAAGCAAGCAAACATATTAAAGAGACATCTCTGATCACTCTCCAACGCTGGTGAGTTTTCAACCAAAAAATGGGTTCTATCACACCAAATTCAAGGGAAAAAGTTCATCATTAATTCATTAATTCTGTAAAATCACAAAAAAATTCATTAAAACTAATATCTTCCAATAAAAATCATGGAAACCCTCCAAACTGATTATCAAATCTTGAGTGACGTGTACGCAAAAGTCCGAAGTCTCCAGAAATCGGAGAAGAAAGATGGAAAAATAAAAGAAACTTCAGCAGCTCAGAAAATTCATCAACTGATAGACGACGGAATTAAGACAATTGATAATTTAATTAGCACTTCCGTGCATTCCGAGAACCTCCGCTTGCTAGCTATGAAAATAACGTTGCTCTACGAGAAATCAAAGACCCTAGTCTGCGAAGAGAAAGAAAATTTGGCAGAAGAAATCCTGGCGGTCGCCCTCGTCACTATCAACGAATTCCTATCAGCAAGTGAAATTATATTCTCGGGACTGAGGATAATGAATCATTACGCGTATCTGCTGATGAAACGGGATGACTACGACGAGGCTCGAAAAATCCTGGAGCAGGGGGATTCAATATATCGAAAAACAAAGTCGAACAACTCCGCTATTTTGTTCTTCAGCAATGAGGAGCTGTTTTCGAGTGAAGCAATCGTGACCCCTTCCGAGTCTTGCAACAAACTGGAGCGTTTGGTAACGAGTAATCTGGCGATGTTGAGTATGGTCTATGAGAAGCTCCAATTGCATGAGAGATTTGCTCAGAGTCAGCATGAGGTTCTGGAGAGACAATTCGAAATTTCTGGAGATGAACTCCCAGTGTGGGCGATGAAGGCGACTAAACTCGCGTGTTTCTTCATGGCGAAGAATCGGTTCAAGTAATTTTCAATTCAACTGGATTTAGTAAGGGGAGATACTATGAGTTTTTAAATTCGCGGGCTATTGGAGGGGGATTTATCATGCATTGAAGGTCGATTATATGTGTCTAAAAACGAATAATTAGTCCAAAAAATTAATACACACGGAGAACAATATTCAGTAAAAATTACGTAGGGGAGGGTGGGGTAAAATGGACACTTTAGACTTTTTAAAAATTATTTATATCTAGAAACTAATTTATCAATTGAGCTCAGTTTAGGCTCGTCACAAAGGGAAAGAGTTGTTCTTTGTGTTAAAAAAAAAAATTATTAAATTTTATCAACATTTCAACCCCTCATTAACATTGTAAAAAAAGTCAAAAGTTTTACCCCAGCCTCCCCTATCTTTTCCGTAATTCCGGAGCGAATTGTGGTTGTAAGAAATTTTCTTGAATATTCAATGGAATTCGATTTCTCAGGTTCATACGAGAATAAAAATTATTGAAAATCGTGAAAATTCAGACAATTTTTCTTCTGAATTTTCAATCTCTTAAAAATTCAATTGAATGCAGTAGTGCAGTGGTAAACCGGTATAAGTCTACTGATTTTGAATATTGGCCTGTTTTCAATGAATATCTCAAAATCTAAGGGAAATAGCCAAATTTTTGTCATAAACTTTTTTATCGAGCAAATTGAGAGCTACAAAAAAGGATATTACAACAATTTTGCTATTTCCCTTAGATTCCGAGATATTTATTGAAAACTGGCCAATAGTCAAAATCGACTTATACCGGTTTACCACTTCGCTACTGAATGTAATGTTTAATTTTCGCGACAGGTGTGAAAATCCAAATTGTCATTGAAAATTCAATGATCATTCATCACGAAAAACTTAATTTTATTGAATTTCCAAGATGAATCAGGAATTCCATGAGCAATTTAGTTTGAAATTGAATTCAATTTCTGAATATTGAAAATTTAAATTCATCTGTTACTTAAATTTCAAAAAATTTCTAACAGTGTGTTGTTATACACAGAATGAGAGGACACAATTTCTGATCCTCATTTACCGCTCTTTCTAATTTTCACATTTTACTTCATCATCAATAGCAATTGCTTTGGAAATGAACTTAGAAATTGTCATTGCTTACTAAAAAATCGATTTAATAAAAACGAAGTTTTGTAGGGAAGCGAGAAATCATCTAGCGGCTGCGACCCAAATCCTCTGCGAAGTCGAAAAAAAATCGAATGCAGTGGAGTCAACGGACAACTCCTCCCCGCAAAAGTAAATTTTTCCTCCGAAAGTTACAAATCCCAATATTATAAAAATTTATGATCAGATATTTTCCTAAAGATGCCCAGAATTACACCAAAAATTTGCGGATGTCGCCAACTGTTGGGTGAAATACGGTCTCGCCCTATTCAATTCTTCAAAAATGAATGCTATGAGACACTTCTGCCAAGACTCCAACGAAATGCTGGCGCGACTCTGGGATCCACTGTTTGGGTATTCACAGTCACCAGTCACCAAAGATTCTGAAGGGATTGATGAGAAAAATCGAAATGCCTTCGGAGCAGGCGCAACGAATGTGGGGAAGTCGCAAAGGACTCTGTCAAGTATTTCAGAGGATGATGAATCTCGCTCATCATCAGCAATGAAAACTTCATCATCATTAGAAAATGAAAAATTCGCTAGATATGATGGTAATACATTTGGGACTGGCGTTTGCTTGTCATCTCAGAGGCGACTAAATCTATTTACTTGAGAGAAGTATTTACTTTTTTAAAGTTGAATTTCTCTATCCGAGTCATTCCCAGACAAGCCTGAATAGGTTTCAATTATGACAATCATGTTGCTCTAGAGGAAGACTATTCTGTACATGACCTTCGATGAACTCCTTCAATAATTATTCATTTTTCCTAAATTTATTATTTTCTAGGGGAAAGAATTTTGAATAATTTTTTAATGTTGATAATTATTGAGGGAGTTCACTCAAGATCATAGTTAACATGATCATCTTCTAGAGCAATATAATTGTCACAATTGAAGCCTAATGAGAATTGACCGAGAATGACTCGACAGGAGAAATATCAAATTGACAAAATAAATACTTCTCTCAAGTAAATGGATATTTGGCAAAAATAATTTTTTTTCTCAGTGTACTGTATTCATCAAATCCGAAATCCGAAATTTTTTGTATCAGGATTACTAATTTTGGCCTCAGGAGTTCAAATATGATATTTTTTAAAAAATAATTGTGTAAATCAGTAGCGAAGTGGTAAAACGGTTTAAGTCGACTCATCTTCTAGTTGAGTTTTTGAGGAATATTTCCGAATCTAAGGGAGCAATCATCGAAAGTCATCGTTAATTATCGGGAGAATCATCAATATATTTATTTGTGTTTGTACAGTCCACTCCGGTACCTCAACTATTTATTTGAACCTCATCCGATGTAATTTTCAGTGCAATTTATCGTTTAAATACAGTGACAATGAACGAATCTCATCTTAATTTATTCTCCGGCAAATCATCCCACTTCACTTTCCCTCCCGGCCTCCCTATCATCAAAATCCCATAAAATTTTAAACATTGGTCAATAGTCCAAATTGATTTGTACCGTTTTACCACTTTGCTACTGAAATAAATCCAATTCAGTAGCGAAGTGATAAAGGAGATAAGTTAATTTTCACTACTGACCAGTTTTCAATGAATATCCCGGAATCTAAGGGAGATAGCAAAATTTTTGTTATAACCTTTTTTGTGGAGCCGATTGAGTACTACAACAAATGTAATTACGACAATTTCGCTATCTCCCTTAGATTCGGAAATATTCCTCAAAAACTCAACTGGGAGATGAGTCGACTTATCTCCGTTTACCACTTCACTACAGAATTGTAGTTTAAAATATTCTTTCCTACTCTATTGTGACCGAGTTCGATCGTGAGATTGATTGCAACATCTGTTATTGAAAAAATTGATTTTGAAATTAATGTTCAGAGAAACTAAAAAATTACAACGTTGAGGCAATGGTGAATTCAATGAATCATTAAATTTAATTTAAGAGACATTGTCTGGAAAATTCCACTCGGAAGCAAATTGTCAATTATTATCAAAAATATACTATGTTGTGACGAAAACGATTTTCCACTTCTTTGATGGCAATTTTGAATCAAATCAAAAGCTTTTGAATGAAATCCTGAAATTTCACAGGTCCATTATTCCTCTTCCAAAAGCTCGGATTGAGTGAATACGAAGAGGCAGTCACCGCGGCATTAATAGAGAGCACAGAAGAAGCGAGGATCCTCTTCCATCACACCCACACGTGGCTGAAACAAGTCAAACTCTTCTATACGCTTCAAGATCACCCCATGGAGTACGTTAACACCATCATGGATCTCAACGAACTCTACAGATATCTTGCGTTCTACGAGGAGGATATCGAGAGGTTCACCATAAAGAAATTTCTTCCCTATGAAATTCCATCGATGAATTTAGTAGTGAAGCGGTAAACCGGGTTGAGGCGATTTTAACTCCGGCCAGTTTTCAATGAATATGTTGAAATGTAAGGGAGACAGGAAAATTTTGCCCTCAATTTTTTTATCTCCCTCAGATTCGGAGATACAGTAGACTCCCGTTACCATAAAATAAAAATACTAACGATGGAATTTACTTCTTTTTGAATTTGACGTTTTATTAAATGGTTTTACTCATTACGTTAACATCTCAATATAGGTACATTTAATTAATTTTCCATTTTATAATCAGCCAGTTTTTTTTTATCAAAAAATTTTCTTTTACTAGCGAACGGGCGCGAAGCGATTATATTATATTATACTAATTTATTTTATTGTTTTCTTTCCAATTTTTCTTTGTGGTTAGATTAAATTAAATTTATTGGATTCTATTCCCATTGTAGTATACAAATTGTGGGCACAGTTTTTCTCATTTTCAAATGAAGAGATATTTATGATAAATTATAAGGAGAGTATTGCTACTTTTTGCTGGGATGATGATCGATTCGCAAGAAAATAAAAATTTCGATTTTTCAAAGACTCCGGAAAGTTTTAAAATTGATATATTTTTTCAAATAATGAAAGAATACCCATCAATTCAATTTCTATCCTCACATTTTGATAGAATACATAAAAAAATAGCAAAGAATAAAAATCAGAGATGAAAAATTTTATCGGATTAATATAATGTAATTTTTTTGTCAAAAAATTTTTTTTACTAACAAACGGGCACTTCGCGCCCGTCGCTAAATTGTATTATATTATACTAATTTATTTTGTTTTCTTTCCAATTTTTCTTTGTGGTTAGATTTAATTAAATTCATTGGATTCTATTTCCATTGTAGTATACAAATTGTGGGCACAGTTTTTCTCATTTTCAAATGAAGAGATATTTATGATAAATTTTAAAGAGAGTATTGCTACTTTTTGTTGGGATGATGATCGATTCGCAAGAAAATAAAAATTTCGATTTTTCAAAGACTCCGGAAAGTTTTAAAATTGATATATTTCGTCAAATAATGAAAGAATACCAATCAATTCAATTTCTATCCTCACATTTTCATAGAATACATAAAAAAAATAGCAAAGAATAAAAATCGGAGATAAGAAATTTTATCGGATTAATATAATGTAAGTTTGACCAATTATCAAACTGGTTTTGGTCTTCTAGTTTTAGTTTTAAGATTTCGCTTAATTCTCGTTTTTCAATTTCTTATCGATAATCTTGCTGTTATTTTCTTCATTCTGATTCATTATCTAATTCAACTTATCCCAACAAAACTAGAAGCTCTCTCCATGACAGTCTAGAGGGAACTGAATTTTATGATCGAAAATTCATATTTAGAGTATTTTATTTTTCATCACGCTGTGACGAAAAGTGAACTTTTCGACACGCTCCGCGTGCCTAAAAGTCCAGTTTCCGCCACATTGTGATGAAAAATATTGTTCGTAACTCGTGAAAAAATGTTTTTTAGCTCGTGGGATTATAGGGGAGGATGGGGCAAAACGGCCCCCCTTCAATCGTCAATATTTTCCGATTCAATAATCCGATTGGGATGAGTTAGAGCTCGTTTTGAAGAATGAAAAATTATCTTCAAAATGAAGTTGAAACTGGGAATTTTCACAATATCATTCACAAGTTATTGACAATTTAAGGGGGGCCGTTTTGCCCCACCCTCCCCTATCACTCGCCTTCGGCTCGTGATATAAACCTCCCACTCGCCAAAAAACCCTTTTTTGCACTCGTTACGAAATAGTATATTATCCGTTATAATTATTATTAGTTATATATTATCGGTGAAATTAATAAATTCTGTCCTTTTATGGAGACCGATTATTTTAAAAAATTGAAGATAATTAATTAAAAATGAAAAATTCTTTATAGATTCTTTTACTCTACTTCGCTATTCACTTCAATCATTAGTCGAATTCTCTTTGATTCACTATCAATATTTATAAGGTATTCATGAGAAAATGAAATTCAATGAATGCCATTTCTTCATTTCAACAAATGAATAGATCAGCGCGCGCGTAGATCTTGTAAATAAAAAAAAATTCATTCATATTCAACATTTAGCGTATCCATTTGTAGTCAATATGCCGTGCACAAGCTCCGAGCCGACGCCTTGGAAACGCTGAGTGCAGTCCTCCGAGAGGTCAGACCGCAGTGCTACATGGCAGTATCCGTGGAGATCCTGCGAGAGTTGGCCGAAGTTCAAATGGAAATGATGGGATTGAACCTGAGGAAAATCTACGCTGCCCAAACAGCTCTACCTGACGCCAATCAGACTGTTCGGAAGATCGAAACTCTTCATGATTTGAATATAAAGCTGAAAAAATTCGGAAAGACCCTTCCTGGCCTTCAGACACCTGATGAAATTGAAGACTCTCATTCGTGACTTTCTGACTTTGTGATTGAGAATTAGAATGCCAGAGGGAAATTTTCGATAAACTTAAACATGTAATTCATAACACTGGAGATCATTGTTTTCATTTTAAAAATTTTATTTTTATTGAATTTCGGGGAAATTTTGAATCTTCTGTTTTTTTATTAAAAAAAACATTCGAATTCATCACAAAGTGAATGAGTTATTGACATGTATTATAAAACAAGTGGATAATTGCATTTTTTAATAAATGAGTATAGTTATCGTTGGTAATGAATTAGCAATTGGCTTCCGAATAGGGTAAATGTTAAGAAAGAGGGTCCCCACCACCGATCCGATGGTTAAGTTTTCAGAAAGATCGGTGGTGGGGTCCTCTTTCTTAACATTTACCCTATTCGGAAGCCAATTACTAATTCATTAGCAACAACAACTATACTCATTTATTAAAAAATGCAAGTATCCACTTGTTTTACATGTCAATAACTCATTCACTTTGTGATGAATTCGAATGTTTTTTTTATAAAAGAACAGAAGATTCAAAATTTTCCCGAAATTTAATAAAAATAAAATTTCTTAAATGAAAACAATGATCTCCTGTGTTATGAATTACATGTTTAAGTTTATCGAAAATTTCTCTCTGGAACCGATCCGATGGTTAAGTTTTCAGAAAGATCGGTGTGGGGTCCTCTTTCTTAACATTTACTATCAACTCAACTGTCATCAAAATTTTTGCGTATTATTTCGTTATGTCAAATGATTCTACATTCAAACCCTCTCAAGACTCGCATCCGTTTTTCTGAATGATGAATAGCACAGATAATTGTCAATTGAGTTCCGTGCATAAATGAATTCTCAAAGAAGCTAAGTCGGAAAATCGGTGACCGGAGTTTTTTTTCCCGAAAAAAATTCATCGGAAAAAATTTCCCCGTCAAAATTTCCTTGAAAAAAATTTTCCCGAACAAAAATTTCCCCGGAAAGTGTTTCCCCCAACAAAGATTTCCCAGAACAAAAATTTTTAAATTTCTTTTTATAATTTTTTCCGACATTTTTTCCCATTTTGTGGGGGTTGTCAATTATAATTCGTTTAATTGAACTTATTTGGATGTGGCCACTGAGTCATTCCTTTGAGAACGTATATATCGAAACCCAACCGCACTACGCAAACAAAAGTTTCCAGCAGTATCACAACACGATTAGGTACGTTGAGATTATAAGGAATAGGCAATTAAATTTTGTATCATGGGTATAAAAAATGATAAATGATAATGTTAATGATAAATGTAAAAAAATGTAAAATGTGATGAATTCTTGAAGGATGTAGCTAATTTTGTGTTGCCATAAATTGACAGCTGATGATGAATTGAAAAATAAATCTTTGATTGATTAGTATTTGAGGTATTTGGTGGGGGATTTTATTCGGGGAAATTGTTTCCGGGAAATTTTTGAAAATTGACATTCACCAACAAAGTTATAATTTTTTTAATTAATAGTATCAGTCAGATGGTGAACATCGGTGACAATTTTAAAATTTTAGAACTTATGGATATCGAGAAATTAAATAAACAAAATCAGTCTTATACACGGCCTCTTATGGAGTTTTGATTAAATTGAACGTTTCAACCCCCTAGGAACTCAAGAAAAATTTGAAAAAATTTGAAGATATGGGGAATGATGTGTTCAATGTGATGGCGACAAAAAACAATGGGGTACCGGGGTGAATAAGAGAGATATTTCAACCCGCCGTACCCATTTGATCCCATGCTTTCTCGAGGTTCGTCACGCGAAATAGAGGATTTTCCGCATTTATTTTCTCGATGTCTAGTTCCGGTTGCGGCATTGAAATTTCGTCGGATGTATGAATACATATTTCTCCAATGATGGAGGGAAAGAAAAAATTTTTTTTGAATCTTTTTTCAAATTCACTTGGCATCCTTAATTGAAAGCATGTAGTCTGACATCTCTGCTACAAACTCTATTATTATCGACCGTCGATCAAACAGTTTTTAACGTGTGGGATTGTTTTGACGAGTTATTGCATTGAGCCATTGAGTAGATTAGCATTGTCGTTTGCAGTCGTTTGATTGCTTTCCATACAATCTATAGGTGATTGAAGGCAATCCTGCACACTGTTTAATCATCTTTCGTCATCATTCACAGAATATGCAATGAAGTCGCAGTAACAACAATCAACTTTGAAGCTACAATTTTTTCTGGCCGCAAAACTCACCACTGCATTTGGATTTCGGATACCAGGATGGGTGCGTTTGGCCATCGAGGTAGTCGCAGTGACAGTACTGCAATCCTGTCCAATTTTGCTTGACTGCAGCTACGGTAGTTGATTTCGAAACGCACTCGATATCACCCCTCCCCTGAATGTACCATAAAATTCGAATCAAAGTTTCTCCTGCTCATCTGCAAGATCTAATTACGAAAAATGGAGGATGATTATTTCGGAAAGTATACGCTATCGAGTGACACAATAGAGAAGCTCAAGGGTATCAGGGAGACATTGCAAGAGAGTGCAGGATCCTCTAACAGCGCCTGGAGAACATTATTCCATGTCGAGGTTAAAAACAACCGTTGAACGATTAGTTACCTGAGGGCAGAGAAATAGCCTGTCCATTCTATTTCCATAATTTCAGGATGATACTGACCATTTTGCGAATCCCATCGAAGACGTTCCCATGGAAATCGACAATGAATCTTCCCCCAAGTCTCAAGTACCTGACGATGATGGGGAGCTACCGTCCACCCAATTCTACTTCACACAGACAAAACCCAGGGAGAATAATCGTTCTCCATCGACACGATCAACGACGAAGTCAATATCAGATATCGTGAAGTCCCTTTCTGAAACGCTGGAAGCGAGGTGTTTGGATGCTGAAGACATGAACGGTTTGACTGATGCTAATGCTGTTGAGATCGTTGAGAATTTGTCGAAAAGACTGAGCTCCAAGGGCGCTTACAATTTATGCTGCTCGGTTTGTGATATGGAGACGGGCTTGGGGACTTATTACGCCAGAATTGTCTGCTCGAATCTGTTGTTCCAGAAGGTAGTGTGTCAAAAGTCAACTTCACTCAGTGTTCATACCAAAATTTCCTAAATTATGAGTTTGATATGGAGCAGAATTTGTAATAATTAAGAAACTTCAGACACTGATTTATTCACTTAAATGTTTTTTTTTTATTTAATTTATTTCTAGTCGCATGGACAACGTGATCATTAGAGATTATTCACAAAAGAAAGAAAAAAAAGTAAATTGCAATTTAATCTTATATATAAACAGTAACTGATTTTATTAGTAATTTGTCTATTAATGAATTTTTTTTGAAGAAAAAATTTTTCTATTAGAATTGAATTTAAGAAATACTGACTTCTTCTAGCCGAGATTTTCATGGCTGAGCCGAGGTTTTTGTTGTTGGTACAAGTTGAAAAGAGAGTATTGGAGAAATATTTGTCAGAGAGACGCGCTTGGAGACCTATTTGCCAGAATTGTCTGCTCAAATTTATTGTTCCAGAAGGAACAATAAATTTGAACATTTTTTTAACATTTTTTAACATTTTTTTTTGTGATTTCACTCAGTGTTAATCCCAAAAATTTTCAAATTGTAATGAGTTTGATATGAAGGAAAATTTTTAATAGTTAAGAAACTTGAGACACTGATTTATTTACTTGAATGTTTTTAATTATTTAATTTCAGGTAGATTATTAGAATATTTTTCATTTTTTTGTACATTGTCAATGGATCATTTTTCTAGCAGTATGTGTTATCAGGATAAAGAATATGCTGACACAGGAACCAAGGGGTCAAAATTGTGCAGAAATCTATCCCAAACTGAAATGCCTAAGTTTACTATAAAATTTCTTTTGAATATTTGGGGATACTCCTAGAAAAAAATTCCATAAATTATTCAATAATCCACTGTTGTTATCTTTTTCAATTCTTATAAATTTTTTTTAGATACTTCAGTTGGAGAAAAATTCAAATCGCATTGAAACGTCAACAATAACAAGAATGGTTGAGAAATTTCCTGATGATGTCAAGGAATTCCTCGTAGTTCCACTTTTGAATACAAATTTAAAAAACACAAAAGTGGTTTTAACGCTGATTAAGAACTATCCTCCATCCATAAAGAAAGAGCTCATATCGTAAGTCTCAGAAACTGTATTCCAAATAAATTCACGAAAATATTATTCATATCTCTCTTCAATTTTTTCGAAGAATGCGTAAGTATTCTCTTAATTAATCTGCTTCTTTATTATTCTAGTGATTTTGTGGAAAAAGTGAAAGAGCTCCAGCCCTGGCACCTGACAGTCCTGCAGTGCCTGATCAATACTCAACTTGATGAGGACGTGAAGTCTGGAGTCCTAGCATTATTAGTTGATAAAGCCCTGGCATACGCAGAAGACAAAAGCTACAGCCAATGCATATTATCATTCCTGAAAACGCAATCGCCGTTCACTGATGACCAGAGGAACATGTTGCATGAGATGATAATTGTGCATAAAACAGTTTTCAGAAAGCCCATGAAGAATATGTTCAGTAAAATGTTTCTTCATCGAGATTTGTGGCACATGTCGTAAATTGAATAAAGAATTATTTTATATTTTTTCAACTTGCGCGCCTCTCCTATTACCTCAGTCGATAAGACCGAACAGCTGATTCTCCACGCAGAGCACTCGATATTTACAACAAAACTTGTCAACATGACGGAGGAACTGTCAGGTGTGACTATCGTGATATTCATCGCAACGGGAGTCTTAACGATGTTATTGTTGTTCATATTTGCAAAGAGACAGATAATGAGATTTGCACTGAGATCTCGGAGGGGGCCTCACATTGCTATTGGACATGACGCTAAAAAGGTAATCATTGAGGTTAAATCGTCCTGAGCAGCATCACAATGAAATTGAAACTTATTTCGTTTTCAGTCGTTGAAGAGAGAAATCCAGAGAAGAATTGAAGTCATACCTAGGATTCAATATGAGCCTCAACTCATCAGTGACCCCAGGTATATTATGGAGCCTGGGAGTCAAGTACCACCTCATTATTACAGGCTCAAGGCTGTGGATGATGTCAAAGCTCTTGGTGAGATTTCATTCGAATAGAATTTTTATTTATTTAAGAGGGGGGGCACATCACGATTTTCAAGTACCAGAAGTATTTGATGGAAAATTTCGACGATTTTTAAAAATTTCTTCTTTATTTTTTTAAATAAAAATCCAGTGTAACGCTTTTTGAAGCCAACCTATTTAGCGTATTGAGTCGTTAGGTTTTTTATAAATGATGATCACATACATTAGAGATATTACGATAATATTATATTATATGATATTCTATAGGAGAGGTTGGGGTAAAACGGACACTTGACTTTTTTTTAAATGTTAATGAGGGGTTGAAATGTTGATAAAATTTAATATATTACTCATGATTCTTTCAGAAATCCTGAAAAAATCGATTTTCTCTTTCAAATCGCATAAACAATGTTCTGTAATTCAACAACGAATTGTGCGACCCCCACCATATTCTGATAGAATTAAGAGGGTTTAGTTATCATTTTCTTGAGCCATGACTAATTCTATTTTGATGACAATTACTTGAGTGATCGTTGAAAAATTAATTTTTGGAAAAATATCAATTTTTTCGAATCTGTATGAAACATTGAATTTTAATTGGTGTTCATGATTAGAGCTCATTAGAGTCTATATCCATAACAAAATTGATGAGATTCGATTCATCTTTTTTAAGAAAATTTCGAAAAAAAAACGGAGGAACTTTTTTCGTTTTTTTTCGAAATTACAAAAATTTCAATTTCTTTTTTCAAAAAAGATCAGATTTGTACATACAGACACCATATTCCGTTACCCTCACAAAAATAATTAGCAACTTAAATTTGAATGATTACAAAGCTTCCATTCGCAATTAAAAATTGTAAAACATCCCTCAAACATAAAAAAAATGAATGAAGTGCAAGGTAAATTTATCCTTTCCTCCCTCCAGAATCAGAAATCACAAAATACGACAATTGCCTGAAACGCCATGCAAGTGAGAATCTCCGTGCGTATCTCCTCACGACACTAGCCGCCCCCTTGAACGGAAGTGGACAAAGAATGATTCACCAGTTCTGCGATTTCTACGAACACGCCCGTCATGATCCAACGGAATTCACCGATGAGGAGTATCAAGCTTACTCCCGACTACACCTCAAACTGATGGACGCAGCGAGACTTTTGAAATCGTACCCCAGCAGCAGAAAGTCGAGCCCCAGTCGCACCCCAATAAAGAAGAATGTGGAAACGAAGAGAAATATTTTGGAGCCGAAGATGCGACCGCCTGAGGAGCAGATCCTGAGTGGATCTCGTCCCAGTACACTGACCGTCATGGCATTGGATAATACCGAAACGACCGTCTAGCATTATGAGAATCGTCACATTCAGCACATGTGACGAGGGAATGATTATTTATTGAATTTTATTTGAAAGACCGTACGGGGGCCATCGTTGTGGGATACGCAGACACTGTGAGCCATAATGTTGCATAATTCGGAAGAAGAATTTTCACTGTAGAGGCCGAACATTGAAGACAAGAGTTTAGAATGAAATTTTTTGAATTATTCTTTCAGGATATCCAAGTATTTTTCACAGTTTGGTACTGACCACACTGTCAACTCGACCATTTTCCATCATTGAATTCGTCAATTAAATTATGTGAGCAAAAATTGAAAACAATCATGAATGTTCAGTGTCATTCAAATTACATGTTGCGCAGAATTATTATTTTTTAAATATTCGGTGTTTACAAATTAATAATTGAAATCGTTTAAACTTTCGGAAACCATATTTTTTTAGGCATGAAATCGGTCTCTGCTAAAATTCTGAATATTAATAAATTTGTTATGATTCAACAAATGATTTTTATGGTGGAAAATTGATTATTTATAAAAAATGCTCGTAATTCTCGAAAATTGAATTTTTTAAATTATTCCATCAATATTCCTCCAAAAGTATAATTTCTAATTTTTTTTTAGATGAAAACAATTTTTTCTAATGTTTCAATAAATTGAAAATAATTGATTTACAATGATTTTATCATTTAAGTTTAAATGTTCGACTACAAAAGTAGAAAACCATTTCACTGGAGAAAAAATAGCTAAAATACTAGGATATCCTTGAGAGTAAAATATCTAGATAATTCACACACTAGACTTTTGTCTCAATAACTTCGCGGATTAGACGAATTTACTGTAAGTTTCGATGTAAATAACATTTTTCTTCGTCTCAAATGCTCATGACAATTTTTTCTTCATATCTCGCGGGGTTTTTAGTGTATGAGTGAAATACTTTCAGCATAAGTTGATTACGAACTGTTTTTCTGTATCAGAAAAGGAGAGAAAGGAGGAAAATTACTGTAAAATAGTAGATTTATTTAAAACGAAAATCGTATTAAAACATTAGGTACTTTAATATTAAAATTAAATCTCAGACTTTCTTCTGGACGATGATCTGCACAATCAACGAGTTGATTCGCAGCCTCGTTGGGGTCCTGAGCCAGATTAATATTTGTGGGAATAATGACCCACTGCATTTCAATGAACTAATTTTTATAATTTCTCAAAATCTAGTCTTTTGAATGTACCGAATAACTCAATGGACTCTTAACAGATAAATATCTCGTCCAGTGCTCATTTAAATACAGTTCTTTCTTAAGTGACGTTAGGGCATTATGAAAGATACTTTTGTACGTTGCAGGTAGACAACTCGTTCTGACAAGATGTAGCCATTCCATAATCTGTAAAAAAAAAGATTTTCAGAACTAAAAATCAATGACTGAGAAATGATGTTCTTTAATCTTCCTTATTATTTATGAAATATCCTTGAAAATTCCATAAACATCAATCAACCTTCCTAAACTATTCAATAATCCAATGATAATTTTTTTTTGATTTTTCATTCTTAGACATTTCATTTGACAAGAAAAAATAAAATCGCCGCAATTCCTTGCACCCCATTTTTTAATACAAATTTGAAGAATACAAAAATGATTCTAATGCTGATTAAGCGAAAAAAGAGCTCATCATAGGTCTCATAAACTCCATTTTCTCTATTTAAGGACTAATCTCTTGGATTATTCATGAAATATCTCCGACAATTCCATAAAACTCAATCAATCAATATTCCTAAACTATTCAATAATCCAATGATCATCTTTTTTTTTTGATTTTTCGTTTTTAGATAATTAATTTAGAAAAAAAATCAAATCGCATTGAAACCTCAACTCTGTGAAGAAAAAGCTCATATAAGTCTCAGAAACAATTTACCAATATTTTCAAAACAAAAAAATCAACGACTAAATCAACGATATTCGTCAATCCCTCAAATCATTAACCCCTCACGTACGGCGCCCTCAACTCCGTTATTCAATGCACGATAACTTGAAAACAGTCGAACGAAAAAATCTGAAAGAAATTTCGTCCACAAACGAGATGATTTAATATGATTGAATCGGTTGGATGTAAAATGTTCATCTACAACTTTTGTTCCCAGACAAAAATATTACAAATACATTGAAAAAAAATAAAATGAAATAGTTCACCGCAGAGACAATTCCACTGACTTTCCAAATATCTTTTCCAAATGTCAGTACGTCTCTTAGAATTCGAGAAAACGACTTTTAACCGTTGCCGGAAAGGGTCGATACCATGCATTGGTCCCAGCCGATAGGACAAGTTTATGGTTCGATGCATGATAGGGTAAACAGGTCAATTTCTGGACGGGAGTTAGTTTCTGGACGATTTCAACCTGCATTGAATATTCCACAAATAAAATGAAAATTGTATTAATTATTTCACCTCTCCATAATATCCCTTGTGTATAATCATGTGATCAATTATTTTCTTCTATCGATCAACATTTAATAAATAAAAAAAAATATGACCCAGTCGTCCAGAAATTGGGGGTTTCGGCTACAATCAACTATTTCTCAGTTTAATTATTCTCTGTTTTGTTATTTTCACTTTAAACAATGTTTTTCTGCTAATTAAAACATTCTTGAGAGTATGAAAGCCATCATATCCCTATTTAGGTGATTGTTTTATTTTAGATCCTACCACGAAACTCGAATTTCCTTTAATCGTCCAGCAATTGGCCTGGTCACCCTATCAACGCCGCACGTGAGGGGTTAATAAAATCCCCCAGCCACCTCCCCAACCACAAATTCCCCCGAGCGTTCACCAACCTGCTGCACGATATTCTTCCAACAAGGCAGCTGACTAACCCTGTAAACAGCGTGCGGAAACAGCTCCCCCCTGACCTCCCGCGACGAGGCAACGAGTCCCTCCTCCCCCAACAAGTAGTCATCACAAGTCACTACGATAATCGTAACGAAGAGTGCATCGCAGAGGAACTCAGCAGCCTTCACCGACTTATCATCATCAGCATCCACAATCGAAGCCTGAATCCTGCGCATGAGGTCCCAAGACCACCCAGCATTCGACTTCTCCTGCCTCAGTTCCCCCAGAATCCTCTGCAGCGTCCTCAACAGCCTCCTCTGCCCACTCGGCACCGTCGAACACACCCAAAGCATTTCATTCATCCAGCTCAAGGGAATCTCATTATTCCTCTTCATCACCAACCCCCCTCGAATTTCGATAGCCTTCTCCAGTCTCTCCGTCGTTACCTCCTCCCAGACACTCGGCAAAGTCATCCTCTCGATCTGTTCCGTCGGCAATTCCAGCATCGCCTCGACAATACTCCCAAATATCTTGTGATCAACGTCGACTTTGTCCCCCAATCTCTCCAGAATATTCCCAATTATGGTCTTATTATCATGAAGCACCAGGTCATCCCTCAGAATATTCGCAAAACTCTTCATGACCTCCCTAAACATGACGACAGCACTGTCATTATCGACAATGGCCCTCTCAACGATGTAATTAATCGTGGCATCAAGGAAGGGTCCCAGCACACTCGAAGCTGCCCCCCGACAGACATCACCCAGATGCCCACAGACATGCCAGCACTTCGTGAACTCCTGAGGAGACATTGACCCGCAGTCGCTCATCTCCCCCAGTAGCTTACTGAGATACTCCTTAGCGGACGGTGAAACAGCCGCCTGGTGACACGCCAACGAGACACCATAGGCTCGAGTTTCATCAGAGATATTGATGGCATCACTCAGCAGACTGAACTGAACAGGAGGCAACGCCTTCGGATACTTCATCGAGAAAATCCTCATGCACTCGACTGCGACCCTGTCTCTTCCACTCGATTTGTTGGATTCGTGGCGGGGATCCCCATCAATATTAAATTTCTGTAATGTTACAAGGATTTAACCCTTACATTAGTGAAGGTTTAAAATATGTTGATTCAACTTTTCAAATAATATAATATTAATAATCTGATATTTATGAATAATTAAATATTTAAAATTTGTTAAGATGAAACTGTAAAATTACTACTAAGTGAATAATTTAAATTTCTTCGTACCTCAAATCATTGATTGATAAAATAATTGAAAATTTGAATATTTGAATTGATGGTACTTAAGTACTCAAAAAATTTCAAGGCCGATGTTATCTATTTAAGGCTCGGTGTACTATCTTTCGAATGTTATCCGGATTTTTTTTATCCTTCGTAATCCAAAATTGTCAATTGAGTGGTACATGACGTAGAAATTCCCAAAAATTACGATAGAATGATTTTTAAAAAATGAAAAAATTCTGAACTTTTTCAAAAAGCTTTTAATTGAGATTCAGAATGAGTTGAAAAAAGTGAAAATTACAAATATCTGATTCGCTGTGGCAAATTATCTATTAGCTGTCATTTTCCACTGTGAATAACAAAACACTAACTCCTCATGGGAAGTGACAGCTAAGTACCTCAATTTTCAAAACAGTAGTATGTAGTCAGTTGTCATTTTTATGTGATAAAAGTGTGATTAAAAAATTCTCCAAAACATTACAACTTTTTTCAAAGAGCCTTTTCCGTAATAAATGTCTCTGTGCAGTGTGGGGAAAGATTTACGAAATCAGTCTTCCCCCTGCATGATATCGGGTGACAGGCCGCCATTTGTCACCATAAATCAGATACATTTTTCAATTTCCTGTTATTCAACTTATTCTGAATATAAATAAAAAATGCCCTTTGAAAAACTAAAGAATTTCTTCTACTTTTTTTTGATTATTCATTCACAATTTTTCAAAACTTCTGCATGATGCATGACTCAATTGACAATTTCAGATGAAGAAAGATGAAAAAAAAATCAAGATAACGTTGGAAAGATAGTACACCCGGGCCTCAAGGGCTACAAAAGAAATCGTAATAAAATATTACAGATTTGGCTGTCCCTGATTCGTAGTGCCTCAGGTACTCCCCGATGCTCCTCGCAGGGCTCTTGTCAGGGAGATAATTGAAGTTCACAGGCTCCCCCATGGGCCACATGTATATTCCACTCCTGTAGCTGTACAACTCCTCGTTGATGAATTTAATCAGCAGATCGCCAGCAGTGGACAGCGCCTGCTCTCGAACGTTCCCCAGCATCTGGACCCAGCAGGCCCCTGGGACGTAGGCCGGCTCCTCCTCCAAGAGCTCTTCAGACCCCCCACCCCCCCTCCCTCCATTAGACCGAGGCACCGCGCTGAAGCTCTCAGGGAGATGGGAGACCCTCATCTGCTGGACTTTGTACGACGCCAAAGCCTTGAAGGCAGCCTCGACGATCTCCATATTCTCGTGGCAGGCGTAGTCCCACAGTTTCCTGAGGCTCTCCCCCAGCAGCTCGTTGAAGTCGTCCTCGAGGTAAGATGAGGCCAACGGAATGTCCCCGAAGAACTCGCAGATGCTGACAATGACGACTGTTCGTTTCTCTCCACTCATCCTGGGGGAGAGCACGCGCCAGGTGGAGCAGACGTCCGCCACTCCTGAGACGCAGAGGGCCGAGATGCCCCGAAGGGCGAGAGCACTCGCAGCTGACCCCGTGTTGCTGGTGCATTTGTTCAGGATTTGGGAGAGCAAGGGAACCAGCTCTGCCCCCTGCTCTGGACGCCTCTCGCAGATGAGCTTCATGGCGTTGGCACAGGTGACTGTCCCCATGAAGGAGGAGTCGTTGGAAGTCAGGGTGATCAGGGCGGAGAGGAGATAGCGGTGGCAGCGGGGCTCCACCTCCCAGAGCTTCAGGTAGAGCTCGATGGCGACGTACTTCAGGGGGGCGTCTGATGAGGACAGCGTCTCCAGGACGTGGATTATCGTGGGCATGTTCTCTTTGGATATGCCGAGGTCTGGGACTGTGAACAGGACCTCCTTCGTCTGTGAGATGTCCTTGGATTTTGTCAGCTTGTGGAGGACCAGGGAGAGGACGTTGAGGGCGAAGTCTGGGGAGGCCTTGGAGATCCTGGAGAGGGCCTTTGATGTGAGGGAGGTGATTGGGCTGGCGCTGGTCTGGAGGAACAGGCCTGATAGCACGTGCTTGTAGGCGAGGAGAACGCCTGCTGGGGCCTGGGATAGTCTCTCCAGCCAGGGGACCAGGGCCTCGGGGGAGAGGTGGCAACAGATTATGGAGTAGAATTGGTAGTTTGGGTTGGAATGCTGGAGCTGTCCCGCGGGGAGTGGGGAGGGCTGCGGGAGCTGGGGAAGGGGCCAGTCACGTTTCTCGGTTATTGATGATATGAGGGACTTTGCGGTTTTTAGGGCCTCGGAGGAGAGGAGGGAGGCGTAGGCCATCCAGGGGAGGATCGAGCCCATGAAGGAGTAGGAGGAGGTCTCGTTGCAGGCGCTTTTCGAGAGGAGCATGGAACCTGTGGGGTATTAATCAGTCATTATCCGGCGTGGTTGGAGAGGTGGTTTATTAAGAATTCCGGAAAAAATCGACCACGGAAAAAATAGATCAAAGGAAATTTTTAAGTTGGGTGGGTTTTGGCATGTTTTATGTGTGTGGGCCATTTTTTCCTGGTCTATTTTTTCCGCCTACCGTTTAATATTAAGGGGAGATGACATTGTTCTTAATTATTGATGGCACAGTTGTGAATATGAATATGGTTTGACATCCAGTGACAAGGTTTTTCTAGTATTTCTTTGTACACAATAGATTCTCGTCTTGTTTCTTGATGGATTTCAGTTGGTTTCAAGTCGGTAAAGAGCTATTTTAAGATTATTTTATTTGATTTTTGAAATATTACTGGAGAATAATAGCTGTCTGATAATTGAAAATTTGCAATGTAATGTTTGTTTTCGTGATGAAGAATAAAATGTGCACCGGAGGAGGAGCGCCTTGAGCGTTCGAAGCGTCGTGCAATTTGTTAAGTAAATTGTTGTGATCATTTTGACTGCTGCTGACCGAAATATGGCCCAAAACCACTTCCAACAATTGAGAATGAACGGTCGAGAACTTCGCTTTAATTTGAGATAATGACATGTTTCAAGATTTGAAAAAGTTTTTTTAAGGATATCCAAGTATCTTTTACAATTTGGTAGAGACCACACCATAGATTTAATCATTTTCAATCATCAAACTTTTCTCATGCAATTTAATTGACAAATTTGATCATTCAGCGCCACTCAAATTATATTTTGCATACAATTTTTGTTTGCGCCCGAACGAAAGAAAGGGATAATAAGAAAAATGATGATGATAACATTCAACTAAGTTGAAAATCTGACGAAATTAATTAAAAAGAAATCTTATTCAATTTAATAAAATGAAATAAACAATGAATTATACATGATAGAAAGAAATGATGTGCAAAATAACCATTCGGAGGCATATTGCCAATTTATTAACAAAAATAACTATACTATATGCAATAAAACAGCAATTTCCCACTTGTTATGGTGAAAATTGATTGTTTATAAATTATTTACAGAAAATGCTGGTGATTTTCAAAAATTGAATTTTTTAAATTATTCGTCAATCTTTCTCCAAAAGTAAACTTTCCAATTTTTTTTCAGATACTTAAAATGTTTTCCAACGGTTCAATATCGAGAATTAAATAACATTGTAAAATATCCGGAAACTTATTGTCACATGGGGCTCAATAAAAGTCTTATGTTCGACTACAAAAGTGGAAAAGTATTTCACTGGAGAAAAAATAGTCAAGTACTTGGATATCCTTAATTAGATTTGCTTCGAAAATTCAGTTGTTTATCGTCGAGTTGATCAACGAACTGACTCACCTAGTTCGATTATGTTTGGGAGGTAAACACTAGGAGTAATCTCCACGATTTCGGATAACAGAAACATGACGATACTCCCCACTGTTTCATCAGCGTAATCTATCATCGTTTCCATCATGAGGATGTTAGCTCTTGGATCGCAATTGTGTTTCAAGAGGTCCAGAGCTACTGCTGCCACCAGAGGCAACAACGCTGTGCATAACTCTGTGTTCTTCGAAGCTACAAGGTATTCAGAGAGCTCCAGAATTCTGTTGCTGGTGTCTACGCAGGAGTTTGAGTCGTTCATGGGGAGCCATTGCAGGATTTCCAGCTGCAGATGGAGTGTTTCGTCAGTTCTTATTAGCACGTGCCAGGCTTGCTGCTTGCAGCTCTCTGGGAGGTTTAATGTGGGATTACAGAGGATGTAGACGAAGACTGGACGGAGGAGCTCAATGTAGTGTCGCAGGAATCTGTGGATTTTAGTGGAATCGAATAGCACACTGAGAAAAAAAATTTCTAAGGAATAGACATTCTACGATTGATCCAAATCGTTCATCGATTGAATAGTCGCAAAAGAAAATGCTATTGTGAGACACAAATATCGATTTGAACTAAACCAAAATTGGATTGTATGAAATCGATTTCGTTATGGTATAGTATATTTTGTTTATTCCATCGAATTTAGAAAATACATGTTGTTGCGACAAAATCGATTTCATACAATTCAATTTTGGTTTAGTTCAAACACTTTGGATTTGGCGCAAATAATTTTTTTTTCACAATTGCAATGGAAAACTAATCAGTTCAAATTATGAAGAATTGCGTTTGTCGTAAACAAGAAACTGCTCACCGCGAAAGTCTCGCATCAATGAGTATCCAACAATATGTTCCTCATAGATCAAATGAATATTTTATTATGAATTCTGCTTTCAATCGAACAGATATTCTTTTGCGGGATATCGTGACGCTGATAAATTGGATAATTACATGCTTTATTCGAAGAAGATATCTGATAATACAGACATTGATTTGTATGTACTGAAAAGTAGATAGTAGCAAAAAAAGTTTAGATAATTGATCTCATTTTTTCTCAATCGAAAACATTAAAATTAAATCAATATTTGTGTCTTACAATAGCATTTCTTTTTGCGACTATTCAATCGATGAACGATTTGGATCAATCATAGAATTTCTATTTCTTAGAAATTTTTTTTCTCAGTGCAGTTGCTTCGGAATGGAAACTTTGTCATTTTCCAATTTATGTTTCGTTTTTTTTGTGTTATATCAACCCATTATAATCCTAAATGTAGAAAGGAGGTGTTGCACGTTTATTCCTAAATGTTCTGCAGGAGAAATCGCATACGCCATGATGATGATACTGATTTTGTTGATAATGCTGATGATGTTGGTGTTGGTGATTTCCAATGGAGTATGCATTAATTGTCAACTGAAGTTTTCATGGATTTAAACGAATTTCTCCTTAATAATACTATAGAAATTCTATAATATTATTATAATACTATAATATTATTATAATTAATATAGTATTATTAAGGAGAAATTCGTATACGTGAAAGAACATATTGATTCCAAGCAACTTACATATTAATGTGATCAATCATAAAATCTATAGAATTGTCAGACGCCTTCGATCTCGTGATCCAAAAAGTCCAAAAATGCAATTTTAATTTTCTGTGTGTTGACAAAGGTTTTCTTCAATTGGTCATTAATTAATCGAATTGAACCATTTCCTCAAATGTAGGTATTGCTGAGCCTTATCCATCGACATTACTCATAATTAATAATAATAATAAATAAATAAATAATAATAATAATAATAATAATAATTAATTAATAATTTTTTTAATTTTTGAATTTTTTCAAAAATCGGTTGTCCCTCGATAACTCAACAACAAGTGGGAAATTACTCTTGTATTGCATATAGTACAGTTATTTTTGCTAATAAATTAGCAATATGCTTTCGAATGGTTATTTTGCACATCATTTCCTTCTATCATGTATAATTCATTGTTTATTTCATTTTATTGGATTGAATGAGATTTCTTTTGAACTAATTTTGTCAGATTTTCAAATTAGTTGAATGTCATCATCATTATTATTATTATTATCCCTTTCTTCTATACAACCGATTGTCTTTTTTACGTTTCTATCTGTCCCTTCAGCCCTTCGAAACATCACATTTGACGAAACCATCAGAAAGCTCACTTTTAGAGAAATTCATGAAAAATTCTAAATTTTCAACAATCATCATAAAAATCAAATCAGCCAGTATAGCTATCGTAATTATCTTTTAACTTCAACTTAATGGCATTAAAACAAACATTTTAAGCTATGATTGAATTCATTTGAAGCATGATATTCAAAGATATCTCCGGAATTCTAATTTTCAAAAAATAGTAAATTTTTACAAATTTTCAAACAAATCAAAATAACGATTATTGCTATCGCCTTCATCTTCGAACTCGATCAAAAGGACATCCAAACAAATTTTTTAAGCCATCATTTACTCAATTCACAACATTTTTTTAGTTATCGTGGGACAACTGATTTCCGAAAAAATTCGAAAATTAAAAAACTAGTCGATTAATTAAATTTAAAGTAATGGCGATCGATGGGGTTCAACAATACCCAGATTTGCATCCATTCACGGGTTCACAGTTCCCGGAAATTTAAACAATTTGAAATATTTATTTATAAACAACGAATGTTTAAAAAACAATAATTCTGTGCAACATATAAGCAGAATATTCATGACTTTTTTCAAATTTTTCTCGCACATTTTAATCAACAAATTCGATGATTGAAAATTTTTTACTTGCATATCTTTAGGTGAAACGAATGGAATGTTTATTTTTATTTTTTAAACCGTTTCTTGACAATTCTGGATCTTACTTTGGATCTGACTGATGAATCATGGACTGCATGTGCCCCAGAATATCCCTCCAGACAGTATTCTTCTGCATGAGAACAGTGATAAGGGGATGCTGAGGCGCCTTTATCGAGAACGGACAGGTGTACTCATCACTAGCATTCCTGTTCTTCAAGTCTAATTTCAGTAAATCACATATTGCCGATGTGATTGGTAAATAATTCCTCGTTTCCCCGAGTATCGCGATGAACTTGGACAGGATTGGCGGCACTTCCAACAGTCCCGTCTCCACCAGACATACCAGGGCCTGGCAGGTCACCGAGCTGACGACTGCATTGTCACTGTTGCACTGTGTGAACAATGAATTCAGCTCTGGCAGCTTCAGGGGGTCTGTGTCCCCCTCGCTTCGTATTTTTTTCTCAGCGGATTCGAGGATTTTTGATACCTTGTGGGTTATCAACACCGGGTTATTTGAGGTGAATTTGCAGTCTACTTCATTCATCGCTGATTGCTGTATATTTTTTCGTTGTTCGGTGTTTTCCTCGATGATCGAAAAATAATTGATGATAATAAGTCCTCAATTGTTCATTTGTTTATTACTGTTTATGGAAGGGGAACGGACGAATGATAATGTAAAAATAATTCTGTATTGGTTTCCATCCGTCAATTCTCAAAACAAATAAAACCCTGGAGACCCTAACCTCAATTGTGTGAGGAGGGGGCTACAGCAGCGCCAACGAAATTCAAATTTTGAATAGTTGGCGCACAAAAGCAAAAAGTCGATGATTTCTACGTCACAGCCCCGTTTTTCCAAAAATTTGGCTGAAAATTCATAATTTCGTGTACGAAAGATCGTCGGAATTTCTAAACGGACGGTTTTAAATCTTTCTCCCATTGTTAATAATAGTTCAGGAACCAAATTGTTGAAGTACGAATTTTAGGGGTGCAGGTTGCGTTTTATATCAAATTACAGGGCTCACGCTGTGATTAGCAGCAGTGAAACGTAGGGGAGAGTGGGGCGAAATGAAACAGTCGAAAAATTACTATTTGACGCGATTCAAGTAAAAATTTTTTTGTTAAATATTTTTTTTATCAACTTTTTTATTACTGGGAGTACTGTTATCAGTACTCCCAGTAATAAAAGAATAATAATAACAATAAGAATTTTCTATTCGTCTTATAATCCAGTTGATTAGATGAGACCGATTACACGTTTCTTTTTTCATTCCATTGAAATTTAACATTACATTTTCCTTTTTCCTTTTCTGGTCTCCCCTTGGTCCTTCCTCTGGACTTTGGATTTTGCTGTTTCATTTTGTTGTCAATTAATTAATTGACAAAATCTTACCCCGTCAGAACCTTTCAATAATTTTTCATTCTACTGAACGTAAAATTATTATTCTCATGAGTACTCTTAAAGATTAAAAAAAATTAACAACAAAAAGTTTTTTGCTGAAATTGCATCAAACAGTAATTTTTGGACTGTTTCATTTTGCCCCACTGTCCCCTATAAGGACTCAATATGTGAAAAATGCATGATACCAGATGATATGGCAGTATAATATTATGAAATTGGTATAATAATTTAATTTAAATTAAACATTTGAATTCAGACTTATCAAAGTTAATGTGTGTAGATATCGTTGTGAATGGGCTCGATAACTTTGGCTCAAATTTGACTCAAGTTCAACCTCTATGAGACATAGAAGTTTAAGTTTATATGCTCATATAGATGTACGGGCTCATTACCCATCTCCGCCTCCCTTTATAAGGCAATAACTTATCATAATTTATCATGTAGAGGTATACACGTGAAATTATGTCTTTAATGGCAGAGTAATGTCTAATAAACCTTACCAGATCTTGAAATTTGCGAAATTTGCAAAACTTTATGACCTACAAAATCTTGAGAGATAGTCCAGGAACCAAGATGTTGAATATCCCTAAAAAATCTCTATTTTATTTCGGTATTTTCAAGTTCATTTTATTTTTCTGAAATAACTTGGGAAGAAAGAATAGAATATACAAATCAAAAATCAATAAACTCGAACAATCTCCCACAAAAGTTCTTCTTTTGTTTCAAGCAGCGCTGAGCACTATTTTATGACAATCAAGTAGAAATACTATTCCAAATGGTTCAGTACGATACAAATAGTATTTATTTATGTCTTTTTGAAATTGAAATAAAATAGTTATCTGATATTTCATTCCAACGAAACAGAAAATGAAATAATATTTACTATTTTATTTCACTCTTTAGTTTTACATGAAATCGTTTTTTTTCCTACAAATATTTCCCTTTTCTATCCCTGAAACCTTCAATGATCTCTCGCGATGACATAATCGCAATGAATTACTGAAGATGGGACTTGATACAGCATTTCACATCTTGTGACATCACCGGATGTTGTTGGATAGAATTTTCGAGTAAGTAGGAGGACATTACATGAAAAATTCGTACTTCTCATATGATAATGATTTCGTTCGTCACGTGTTTGATATCTTCAAAAATTGTTATTTCTAATTATTGTTTCTTACTTCTCAGTGTTGTTTCTGTTCTAATTTCTTCTCCAGGAAAGAAAAAATTTCAAGTAATAAAACATTTTTGGGAAAACTCGATGAATCATTTCAAATAGTATTTTCCTCGATCAAATTATTTTCAAATAGTATTTATTGGAGCCCAACTATTTAAATACTGTTTTATTTGCCATGTTCAATAACTCTAAAATAGTAATTAGTCATAAATATTTGAAATAGTATTTCAAATAGTGTTTTGTCCAGCTCTGGTTCCAAGTACGTATGAAGTTGCTCCTCATGTCAAAGACTAAATAAAGAAAATAAACTACAGTAAAAAGTAACAGTAATAATAATAATTGAAACACCACCAAATGAGATTTTTTAATATATTTATTTGTATGGACAAGTCGGAGCATAGTGCACAATATATTTAATATATAGTAGTCTGAGGGGAAGGGGTCAGAGTACATTTCCGGAGTCTGAACACAATATCTTACAATTTAACGACAAGACGTCTGCACTTTTATTAACTTGTTTTCTCTGTATTTGCTTCTGTACGTAATGTGTTAATTGCATGTTTATATATTCGAGTTATGTAATATATAAAGCCCAACGGTTTACTATTTTCACCCTAACGAATAAAAATAAAGTTGATGCATTAGGATTTTAACAATATCAGTCAATTTTCTTAGTTAATTTCACTTGGATCTCGTTTCGCAGAGTTTTATTTTCCAATTGTTCAATTACAACTCGACTAATTACGTTGAATTTATTAAACTCGATAGAAAATGGTCTTGCATCTTGGGTAAAATAGTAAAACGTACTCAATTTCCAAGAGACAGATCCATTACTCTCCATTTGTAATGACTTACTTTTCCTTTCGAAACAATTTATACGTTTTATCAATTTTTTTTCCATCTTCCAAAGCAAATACATTGTACAGCCTATACAAACGTTACACAATTGTTATTAATTTTCGATTTTATTTAAACTCCAGTAGCTGGCGGAGAGCGCAGGGCAGGATCCAGGTACTTAGGCTATCTGCATATTTTCATAAAAAGCTTTTTCATTTCGTCGTCGGTAAGTCCCTCCATTTTTTTATGATTACGTTTTTTTATGTATTTTTTTTTCATGTTTTTAGTAAAAATCACAGCACAGCACCAGCATTTATTTTAAAGCCTACCCCTTCTCCGCATTTGGGGGCCCCATTAAAACTGAGGCACCCCGTGTTCGCTTCTATTTCGTTTTCAGTAATGTGGAATTTTATGATTTTGGATCTCATTTTGTTTTTGTCATTGGAAAATAATAATGACACACATTAACTGTTTTCTTTTGATTTGGCATTTGCAACACTATGCTGTCCAATAATTAACTTTGTGACCCTGCTACAGGATCACAAAGTGTGTTCATACATTTTTTTTGTTTCTCTCATTATCGCAATGGCAATGATGATAATAAAAATAAAATAATAAATCGTAATTAAATCGTTACCGAACTAATATTATGTAGTTTTTTTTTACCTAAATTGTATAATTGTATATTTATAATAATTAATACGTTTTTTGTATTTTTATTTACCCATTACTAGTTGTTTTTTTTTATTTCGTTTCCACCTCATGTTTTCACTGTCACTACATGCACATTCTCGCTCTCTCTAGTCGCACATTCTCACGTCAACACTCACCCTTCTCTCAGCTCCATTAACTATGATTATTTTTAGTAAACAAATAGCATTCTACTTATTAATTTTTTTACCGATTTACAATTACTTAACGCCACTTAATTATTTAGAATCATGATTTCTCTTGTGACTTATCAAATATCCTTTATATAATTCTTTAATCATTCACTTTATTTCCCTCAAATCAGTTGTCCATTACATAATAAATCTATTTTCATCTAATAGATATAAGGTCGTATTTTACGCATTATCATCTTGTAAATTGATTTTTTTCGTGATTTTTTAAAATCAATATTTTTTATCTCTCGTTCACAATCACTCATTCGTCCCTACAAAAATCGAAGTCTGCGGTATTATTTATCTTTACAATAAAATACATTGATTCGGACAGCGGATTTGCGACAATCTATCACACAATTGTTATGTTTACTTTCTCATACATTTTACATTTTTACTATGCACAAGAACTACACACTCACTTACTTTGTTTTTTTAAATATTTTACAAAATTTAAATGAATAATCATCTCACATTGTTGACTCACGATCATGTCTAGTTGTTTGTCAATTATCTTGTGAAGCTGTTCACAGTCAAATAATTCGACCAATTGATTTAAAACGATGCACAGACATGCGCAAGTTTCAGTCTACCAGGACTTTCTATTCAAAAAGCAGATTGTAAATAATTTTTTTTTTAATCTGCATAGTCGTTATTATCATTGTGGTCTGGGAATATTCTGTGGTGAATCAATTCTCTCAATAGCCATGCATATTCATGATTTTCATGGCTCACTGCCATCTCCACAAATTCATCGAGTGAATTAAATTCTCGTGCTCCTTCATTTCAGTGAAAGAGATGAAGGTATTCCCATGATATAAATTCCTGACCTGGATAATTATGCTCTCTTTAGCTCCACTCGTTATTAAAATCTTTGTACAGATAGTACCATCTCATACTTAGTCAATGGGTATACGCTCATGTATACACTGACGTATTTCATTTAATTACAATATTTACAAGTCGTTCGAGGATGTGATTACCCCTGTGAAGGCTTTCGTCCTAAATTGCCTCAATTCATTTACAAACTACGTAGTCGATACAGAGTATTAGTCGTATTCTTAAATTTTTCTTTTGAGAATTGTGAGTCATTTCTCCTTTTTTATCATTTGTGGATGTCAATCCGAGAGGCCTTGAATCAATTTATCAATATGTCATCAATTACAAAAAATCGCCTATGGGACACTGGGGTCAACTAGTGTCGCGTGTAATTATCTACAGATCATATGATTTCACAAACAATAGTATTTAAAAAATTAACATCCAGTCAATCGTAATACCGAGGCAAAGTTGTTTGTGGAAATTTTCTCCAAATTCGTATTTCTGTATAAATGCTGGCAATGTCAGGGGTCTTCCCATGGGTCCAATTTCCAATATTTATTAAGATATAGGTGAAATGCTCAAATTTCTGGGATTCATCTCCCACCTGTCAGTTCTCCCTACACTTCATACATTTTTTATTTTCATTGTATTAAGTAATAGCGCCTACTGATTTTTTGGAATAATAAAAAACATAATTCTAGGTTTACGGAGATCCATTTGAAATTTGTCAGTGAACCGTGTTCGGCGCGAGTGAATTCGAATTGATGTCTGATTGACAAAGTGGTAAATCATCATTAACAAATCAATCATAACAAGTTTTGTCGATTTGTCGCCTTCAGTTTGTTCTTGATATCTTTGAATGTAAGGGAAATAGCGACAGTTTTCAAATGATTTTTGTAATAAAAAAGTTTTGAATACGAACATCACTGTTTCTTAAATTTCAAAATACCCTGTGGATATTGATCGTGACGATTCACCATTTTGCAATGAAACAACGTCTCCCCGGCACGTGTCACTCTCAGCAACAATCAATGATCGTGAATGCGCTGAGAAAAAAATTATTTTTGCTAAATATTCATTTACTTGAGAGAAGTGTTCATTTTTTTAATACTGTATTCCCAGGCAATTCTCATTAGATTTCAATTATGATGATTATATTAATCTAAAAGATGATCATGTTAGTTGTGACCTTGAGTGAACTCTCTCAATAATTATAAACATTAAAAAATCGATCGACATTCTTTCCTCTAGAAAATAAGAAATCTAGAATAAGTCAGTAGCGAAGTGGTAAAATGATTTCAGTCGACTTATCTCTTAGTTGAGTTTTTGCAGAATATCTTCGAATCTAAAGGAGCTAATGAAATTTTCGTAATAACCTTTTTTTTAGAGCAAATTGAGTGCTATAAAAAAGGTCCAGACAAAAATTTAGCTATCTCCCTTAGATTACGAGATATTCAATAAAAATTGGCCAATAGTCAAAATCGACTGTTTTACCACTTTACTACTGAAATGAATGATCATTGGAGGAGTTGATCTCACATGATTGCCATACTTGAGACCTAATCATGCTCGTCTGGGACTGATTCAATACTAGAAATAACATTTTTAAAAAATGCTTCTCTCAACACTGTTAAAAATTTTCGTCTGAATTTTCCGATCCAAATTCCGGCAATTTTTATCGTGTCCAAGTTCCACTGAAATTTCAGGACATCTCGTGACTGAAAAATCCAATAATCCACTGATTTTCTGTGCAAATGATCTCCAAATCAATAAAATATTTGATTTTTCAGTTCAATTATTCTGCGAAAATTCAGAAAACTCACGAAAATTCAGGAAAAAAACGCTAATTCTGTAGTGAAGTGGTGAACTAGGATAAGTGCAATATCTTTGAAAAATGTTCTATTACTTGAAACGCAAGTTCTCTCAAACATGATCAAATTTTTCAACTCTCCCGAAAAAGTTCCATTTTTCCACTTATTCTAGTTTACCACTTTACAACAAAATTCACGTCATTTTGTTCCTAAATATTCATGTTCCACTAAACTCATGAATTTCCGTGAATTCTACTTAAAAATTGAAAAATCATGACCGTTTGTTCCCTAAATTCGATTCAACGTCACTCTCACGAGATTTACTAAACTATCTTGCACGAAATTTCAAAAAATTTCCAACAGTGCTTCACATGAATATTTAGCAAGAATATTTTCATCTCTCAGCGTGAGGGATTGACCCAGGAATTATCACAAAGTTGAGACAAAGTGTTCTGCAATGGGTCCTACGGCTGCCTGCCGGGATTGCCGTGCGAGTGTACCACACTGCCACCGGTTGCGGTGGATGTCGGATGTGTGTGGTGGGTTTGTGCTGAATTTCCGGTTGCGGGTATGGGCGCGGGGGCCGCGGGTCACTTGGGCGGGAAGGGCGAGATCACCGAGGCGGCTACAGCGGCAGCCTGCTGACTCGCCAGCACGGCCGCTGCAAAACACACATTCGTTAACGTGAAGATCATTAATGGTTTACTTGTTGCGAGTGAAATTATTTAGACAGCTGTCGTTCGTTAATTTTCCCATTCAATGGACTGAGGCAAACACTGAATGCTTTGATAATCTAAGAACAACAAATTCTTCAAACAATTCAAATAAACTAACACGTGATTCTATTTGCGTGAATATCGATCATCTGTGGATCATTTGCTTGTTCATCTGATTTTTTACAATTAAAGTAATTAAGCCTTGAACAAAACCACCAACGACTGAGGCTAACACTGAATGCTTTGATGATTTAAGAATAACAAATTCTTCGAGCAAACTAACAAGTGATTCTATTTGTCTGCGTGAATTTCGATCATCTCTGGATCATTTGCTTGTTCATTTAATTTTTTTATAATTAAAGTAATTAAGCCTTGAATAAAACCATCAGCGATCCCGCCCGACTCCAGCTCGCACGTCAGGTTTGGCCTCTGTTATTTCATTGTAAAGTAGACGGGGACTCGGGGGGGAATTTCGTAATCTTGAATTATGATTTTTGTTCATGATTCTCCTAAAATTAACCGACACCGTTCACCTTTTCTCGCACCTTCATTTGCGAATGGAGAGGTACATTGGCAGTGGCTGCTAACACAATATTTCGGTTTGAATAAAATCTATCGTAAAATGATTGAAATTATGAGATTGTGTCGAGGTAAAAATTTTAAATCTTTATGCCAGTTCTGGAAGACTGAAAATTTTTGGAATGAACCACAGTGCACTGAGAAGAAGTTTTTTTAGAAGTCCGTCTTTACTTGTATCAAGAAATTCATTGAGTTCTCAAATCAATTCAAGTGGTTTTTGCATTATAATATTTTAGAAATGAGCCTAAAAACAATTAAATGAATTAATTCAGGAAAAATGGTAAAACGGTTTGAAGTCAACTCATCTCCCAGTTGACTTTTTGAGGAATATTTCGGAATCTAAGGGAGATGGCGAAATTTCTGTAATGACATTTGTTGTAGCTCTCAATCGGCTCTACAAAAAAGGTTATAACAAAAATTTTGCTGTCTCCCGTAGATATCGAGATATTCATTGAAAACTGGTCAATAGTCAAAGTTGACTTGTACCATTTTACGACTTCACTACTGAATTCAATTTCACTTGGTTTGAGAAATCGTTTTCTCGTCATCGAGAAATTCTCCTCGTCTTTAGAACAAATCCAAAATTTCTTGACGAAAGGTTTTTTTCTCAGAGCAAGATATTTCGCTCTTGAAAATCTTCAAGCCCCAAGTTTTTCGATATAAGTAAAGAGTGTCAAGACGTTCTCAAAAAACTTTGTAGTTCTCAGTGTGAATTCTCCATCACGATGTCATTGAGCTACTCCTCGGATCATTAAAAATCACGTAATTATGGATGTACATGATCATTTGTGTCTGTTGTATTGTGTCGTGTTATTTCGGCAACATACGATTAGAGAGAAGCACGATAAATAATTATCACAGTCTGAACTATCCTATGTTTCTTTAAAACCTAACTAGACGATTCCTCAATATTGTTAGCCTTCTTTATGCATCAAAAATTCGCACATGTCCTCGTTTAATAAAAAAAAAAAAGAGAAGAAAACTATCCACAAGATGACTTTGTGCAGCCCAATTAATCTTATGCCGCGTCATGGCGTTATATACAACAGTATATTTATAATATTCTCACGTAGCGTTGTAGAATTGTTCCCGCTCAGGGCATCACTCTCCACTGCCGAATCACTCTCGACCTGACAACAAAATATGAATTTTGAATTGTTTTTTGCCTCCACAAAACCTCGAGTTTTTCTTAAAATTCAACCCAAATACATGCGCGATTATTTATCATTGGAATTAATCCGTCAACAACACCAGAATCATTGAAATTTCATTCGAGGCATAGACACCGTCACGAACTGATGAAAACCAGAGAGAGAAAGACTAAAAAATTCAGAAAACTGTCATTCCAGCCCTATCATTCCTACTCGCGCATTGACTGAAATCCCTCCCTATGATCGTCTAATCGCAGTGAAATCAGTGAATCGCGTCGAATGAATCTCCAAAGATCCCCCCCCAATGCCACATAAATTCGCACATGTCAGGGATTGGCCATTTTATCGACGCACATTATTCAATTGAGTTGGAGCCGCGGAATCGCCGGTAGCCTTACTGTCAGGGTCTGACGAGTGGCTTACCTCCATAAGGCGCGGGATACTGTCCCGTCAACAGAGGATACCCCAGTCCAACATGCGTATGATGATGTGTGTGGACATGCCTCTGAGGAGGTGGTGATCTGCTGTCCTTGCCAATGCCCCCACTGCCAGGATCCCCAGGTGCCGATTGCTGTGGATTTCCAGGTCCCTGTTGTTTGTTCTGCTGCTGTCCCTGTCCGCTGGGTGGTCCAGGCCCAGCGACGGACGTTGGTGGCCCACTGGGTGGTCTAGCAGGTGTGGGACCAGCAGCCGAGGGACTGGCTGACGCAGCCGAAGTCTTTGGAGTTGGTGATTTCAACGCTCGCTCCTGAAGCTCATGAATTTTGTGCGCTGAGTAGTACTGATTCGCATGATGCTGAAGCAGATCCAGCGCCTTGCCCCCAGGTGGTCTGGAGAGGTCCTCGGGTGCGTGATACCTCGGGATCTGGTGGAGATAGGGATTCCCGGAGTAGGGGCCCGGCACCATAATGGGGCTGAGGCCCCTGTACACCGGGTGTCCAGGATCGAAGGGCAGTCCCCCATAATGCTGGGGTGGCATGTAAGCCCCAGGATGAATGTAAGCGTACTGCGAGGTGGGAGGGGGCGGTGGCCCCTGCGTCTCCATGGTGGGCTTGACCCCCTCCTGCTTGCTCTTGGAGTCGTCGCTTTTCCCCAAGTCCTGGGGCTTCTCCTGCTTGGACTGGTGCTTGGGACTGGGCGGCGGGGGCTTCGCCTGCTGGGGCGCCTTCACCACGTCCTCCTTTCTCCTCTGCTCACCTGGATACAGGTAATACCTCCTGTCGTCCTGCACCGGCGGCGCTGGCTGGCGATTCTGGCCATGATACACGTGGTAGGGGCTCATCTGGCTCTTCATCTCAATGCTCTCCTTCAGGATCTGGTGGTTCTCGTGCTGCTTGTCCTTCATGCTGGCCAACTGCTGGGGCTCCTGCTTGATCTTCGCCTTCTGCTCGTGCGGATCCTGATCGTTCTGCTGGGGCGGCGGCGCCTGCTGCTGCTGCTGCTGTGACACCGGCTGGGGCTGGTAGGGATAACCCGAGGGAATGTAACTGCCGTAGCCACCGTAGTAGTGCGCCTGCTGCTGCGGGGGATTCAGGTCCTTCTTGTCTTTCTCGGGATTCTGGAGACTCGCCATTGACGGCATCTGCGGTATGTTCAGGGGTTTGAGCTCCTGCTTGGGGGTGAGATCACTCGGCTTCTGGTCGCCCTGCTTGTCCTGCACGTTGGGCACTAGGTAGGGGGGCTGGCCGTAGTAGGGGTACATGCTGAAGTGAGGTGGCAAGTGTGTTTGTGCACCGGGTTTCACGTCCTTCTCCTGTCCCTGCTTCGCCTTGTCCGCCGATTCCGCCTCCAGCACTGGGGCTGCATCGTCCGATATGTCCGAGTAGGCGGGACTCTGGACGTCCTCTCTCGCTGGGTCCACCAGGGGGGCCTCCAGGGGCGAGGGGTGGGGGCTTCCACCTGGTGATTTTCTAGATTTTTTCTTGTAGCCCTGGGGCTTCGGCGCTCTCGGGTCTTTGCTCTTGTCCTGCTCCGGCATCAGGGCTGCTGTTGGCTTCACCTTGAACTGCGGCATCTTGCTGTGCAAGCCGACACTGGGGTACTGCATGTGCGCGGGGACAGCGTGCCCAGGTGTCGGATTCTGGAGGGCCTGCTGTTGGGCCATTTGGGTGGGAATTGTCAGGCCTGGATGTTGGTTCAGGGATTGAAGGTTCGCCTGTTGGGACTGGGAGGTCTGGGGTGGGGGCACTNGGGGGCTCGGGAGGGTCTGGGGCTGGGGGGTCTGGGGCTGGGGCTGGGGCTGGGTCATCAGGGCCTGGGGTGCTTGCAGCAGCTGATTCTGGACCTGGTGCTGGACGACCTGCGTGGGCTGGGGGGGCTGGGGGATGTTAATGGGCTGGGGAATGTTTGTGGTTAAGTGGGGCGAGGGTACGGGCCTGGGGGATTGACTCGGGTGGGGGCTGGGGCTCTGGGGTGGGTTGACTGGTTGGACTGGCTGTGCTGTTGGCACTGGTTGCACGAGGTTTTGCTGGACAGGCGGCGGTCTCGGGCTGGATTGGATCGCCGGGGCTGGCAGGTCCTCCTGGCCGAATCTCAGGACTCCAGGCTTGACGATACTACTCTTGTCGGCGAGGGTGGGCGTTGGTTCGGCTGTTGGCGAGGGCACCCTCGGTGGCGGGGTCTCAGGCGGCACCGCTGGGGGACTCGTCGGCCTCACTGGGGTGCCCTCGGGCTTGTCCGCTGGGGATTTCACCGGAGTCGCTGGACTTGGCGCCTCAATGTTACTCTCGTCGTTCTCAGACATACTCGTAATGCCCTCCTTCGTGTCGTCGTCGTCGGCGGAGCCGTGCGCATGGCTCTGGTGGTACTTCAGGCCATTTATATTTTTGTACTTTTTACTGCAGTTCGGCTCAGGACACTCAATCAACACTGGACTGGCCGGCGGTGAGCCACTTGGGGGTGTAGGGGGTGGCGCCACTGCTGTCGCTCTTCTCTTGGTTTTCTCCTCCTCCTCGGGGCCGCGGGACTTTCTCTTCGCCGCTGGGTCCGGCCTCGGGGGGACGAATGCCGCTGGGCTCGGACTCGCTGCTGGCGAACCCTGCGCCCCTCGTCGGCCCTTTGCACCGCCGTTTCGCAATTTACTGTGCACCGAGCTACGTGTCTCGGTGAAATTACTGAGGTCGTTGCCGGGGGTCGCGTTCGCCGCAGCACGGCCACGCTTTCCTCGGCCCTTTGGTGTTCTCGCGTCTAAATCGCTTGTTGGTGAATCACAGAAACGCGGCGGCGCCCAGTCGTGGCGGGTGCAATCGAGGAGGGTACCGACGTAGGTTTTACCCCGCCACGTTACATTTACGACCAATACCCCTGCAACAGAAAAATAGTACGTCCCAAATAGTAATTGTCGGTTTATAACAGGGACTAATTAATCGTTATTTAAAGGGGGCTTCATGTATTGTCTATAAATTATTCGAGTGTAGTCAGGGAACAACTTATTTTTTTTGGTTTTTAATTATTCAATTACACTGAGAGAAAAATTTCCTAATAATTTTCGTAGACCATATTTACTTGAGAGAAGTAGGGGAGGGGAGGGCAAAATGGGGCATGAAATCGTAGAGGCTAATTATTTGTGTTTTTTGGTAAAAATTAGTTATATTGGAGGTAAAATATGGCTCCAGCATGAGTTGAAATCACGCCAATTCAAAAAAAAAATTGAAGGACAAAATGGGAATGCCCCAATTGAAATACTGCAAAATTGCGTTAATTGACTTTGATTATAAATAGTATGAAATCAATTAAAATGTATACTTATATGTTACATATTTTTTCGATACATAATTGAAGTCGTCTCAGGGTGTTTTGACCAAATTCGCGGAATTTCAAGAAGAAAAAATTAAAAATAAAATAGGTCCAGGACGAAACCTAACTTGTTTGACAGCTCAAAATACTTCTTTTGATGACAAGCATTAATGAAAAAAATGCGAGAAAAATAAAACATAATTTTGAAAAATCAAGTTTTTCAACTTTTTTTTTTTTAATTCGTTATTATGAGCACCTAGTGATTGAGAAAAAAAATACTCAAAATATTCTTATAGATAGCAGAAAATGGAAAATTTTGATGGGTTATAAATGAAAATCCAATTAATAGAACTGAACTTATTGAAAAATGAAGAAAAAATAAAATAAATATTGAAAAAAATCATATCTCTGAAATGGATTGTCGAAAAAATCTGAAAAAAAATTGAGAGATAGTTTTTAATTAACTCATCTGGTAGTTATTTCATACTTTTCTCGCAAATTCATCATTATTTCAATTTTCGTGAAAATTTTAAGGTGCCCCATTTTGCCCACCCTGCCCCGTTTTACCCTACCCTCCCCTACATTATTCTCAATGGTTTAAATCGCAGAATATTTGTGGCTCACGGAACTCAAATGAATTTTCATTTATCACTATCGTTGCGCATTATATCATGAATATATTACATATCGAAATAGTGGAACTGCATAACAAAAAAATTATGAAAACAATAAACACTTGACGCTTGACGATTCTTCTATGCGATTTGAGTGAGTTCATTTGCGACAAAATCATACTTGAGTGCAAGAATATTTTAAAGCATGAGACCTTTCTCAGGCCACATGAGTTGAGATGTCTGGTAGAATTGAGCAATTGAAGAAAAATTACTTGTCTCAAGAATAGTATATTTCGTTACGAGTGCGGAAAAGTTTTTCAAAAGCAAAAAATGCAATTGTCCACTTGTTTTTATTCATCTTGTTTATTCCTGCAAGTGACTGAAATATGGCCCAGAACTACAACAAACACTTAATCATTACTTGTTCACAACAAAAAACCTCAGTCCAAATTAGCCTTGAAAATTTTAATTGAAACGAAATGTAGAAATACGTCAAACGTTGAGCAAAAAGACAGCTGTAACGAAGATTAGCAAACCCTTCTATCGTTGGAAAGTGACTCTCACTAAACACTCTACCTATATCCTCATCATGAATCAGAGAAACACGAGCCAACTCCAAAGTACACAATAGAGACGTAGATAAGGCCGAGTACATATTCGTGTAAATTCATAGAACAGATCTTTGGTAACACATTCAACAAGACAAAAGAACCTCCGGAAGTTTACATTAGTAACCCCTCTCGGAGGTTTCCAAACAAGATTGAGTGTAAATTAATGTTTCACGGTTCATTCCAAAGTGTTGGCTAAATTAACCGTCGTATTCTTTTTTATCCCCATTACCCGAGGAATTGAATGGAGCATTGAGAAAGAAATGAGTGCGGCTATTGGACAGAATGTACACAATGGATTTTGAGAAAAATACGAGAGCCGTGGAACTCGATTAAGTGGACGGAGGAGGAAAGAGTTTGGTATATGGGTGATGGTAAACTACGACTGTTGGTATATTTGATTGAGTGAGTGAGCTCGCCAAACCAGCCGCGGTGTATACGACTGTTTTTTTGAATATAAAATTCCACTCCCAACGATAATAACATGATAAAGAAGGACCTGAAATGAAAAGGAGAGGAAGGAGGCGTGGAGCGAGCCTCGAGTGGATAAATAAAGAAAAGAAGTAATGGTAGAAGCAGTGAGAGAACGTTAGCAAAAACAAGTGGGGAATTGCTTTCGCCTCAACATAGTCAATATATTTTTGTTAACAAATTAGCAATTGGCTTCGGAATGGAATTTCTATGACGATGTATTTTAAATTGAATTCTGTGATTCAAGGAATTTAGCATTCACTGAGAAACAAAAATTATTTTTGCCAAATATCCATTTACTTGAGAGAAGTATTTATTTTGTCAATTTCATATTTCTCATGCCGAGTCATTCCCGGTCAATTCTCATTAGGCTTCAATTGTGACAATTATATTGCTCTAGAAGATGATCATGTTAGCTGTGATCTTGAGTGAGCTCCCTCAATAATTATCAACATTGAAAAATTAATCAAAATTCTCTCCTAGAAAATAAGAAATTTAGGAATTTAGTCTTCGTCTAGAGCAACATGATTTTCATAATTGAAACCTAATCAGGCTTGCCTGGAATAATAATATTAATAACTAAATTAATAACTCGGATAGAGAAATTCAACTTTAAAAAAGTAAATACTTCTCTCAAGTAAATACATATTTGGCAAAAATATATTTTTTTCTGTGTTGTTTCAACGTTCACTGAAAGAAAAAATTAGCTGTACACTGAGAGAAAAACAAACACGTTGTCAAACAAGTCTTGTTTGGGCCAACAAAATCGCTAGTTGAATATTTCCAAAAAAGAATTTGTTTGGTTCGAATTTGAAAGTCTCAAACATGAATAATGGCTCTGCTTTCGATAGCAACGAAATATTTGGCTCAAGACGCGGATAATTCACACCAGACGGTGCCTTCTCAGGATGAAAATATCTCATACAGAGGGAAATTTAGCAACAAATATTATTATCATTGTAATATCATTATTGTTGTTTTTCATTTGAGGGTTCATTTGTTGTCTGTGATTATTAGACAGCCGAAACGAAAAGCTACTATCCCTTGTTTTGCATAAAACAACGACTTTTCGGGAGCAAAATACGTATGGGAGTATCGAATAACGAAGAAGTAGTACTAGAAATGACATTTCTTGCGTGTAGAGAAAAATGAGAAACATAAAAAGTGACATAATTTTGAAAATTCAAGTTTTTCAATTCTATTTCGAAAATTCGGTATTATGACACTTGGGGATTGAAAAAAAATTACCCGAAATCTTCTTTCAGACGATAGAACACGAAAAATTTTGAACCGTCATAAATTAAAATCATCTCAATAGAACCCGAGTTAGTGAAAAAAAACCGAAAAAATCATATTTCCGAAATGGATTGTCGAAAACACCTGAAAAAAATTAAGAGATATGGCATCATATGTCATGGAAAAGCCTGCGGACTGATGCTGCGACAACTAATGCAAATAGACACTGTAAATGCACATTTTGCAATGAGTGACGTTGAATAAAAATTTTTGAATTAAAATTAATCAACTTCGACCCTTTCGTCTCGGTCCGTACACATCAACGTACCGCACCGTCTTTAGACAAAAGAGAAGAAAGAAAGAAAGCCGTTCATGAGGCTACTTTAAAACCACTTGACCTTTATTTCAGGAACAAAAAAGATGAATAATGTTCGAAAGAAACAATGAAATGAAAGGGAAAATAAAGTAGCAACATTAACCGTGATTGGATGTTCTACCAGTTGATGGTTTTTTTCAACTGATTAATTCTCTGTCATACACAAGCATGAAAGTTGATGAAGAGGACTTCACAAAGGGGAATCCGAGAAATTTGTTTCGCAGTTGAGCATTGGAGAGAAAATTGTGTATTTTCTGTCTTCGTTCTGGGGGACGAAAACAGGCGCCAAGAGGATCGATAACGAGCCAACATTCTCCCTCTCCTTCGAGACTCGACAGCAGTCGGGTTTTCTCTCCCCCTTCCTCTTTAGAGTCTGCTCAGGGTCGATCTCTACCTCTTGCATCGTCTTTATGAGCATTCGTGATATCGACATCGGGCTCTGTGAAAGCATCACAGACCGCCTTTCATGATACATCGTGTTTGCAGTTTACTTCAATGGTAGGAAATTTTTTTTACCTCGGGACTCTTTCGTGGAGTCAAATATTGATGGATTTTCGATTTGCCGAGAAGTAATATGACTTTCACGAGCAATTTTTTATGACTAGCGCCATCCCGGCCGCAAGCGGCCGGGGTGTTGATGCCCTTTTATTATGCTCTTTTCCCCCTCAGATTTGATATTCTTTTTTTCAATTAATTATTTATAATCATTTTCATTGCATGAAGCAATAAGAATCATGTGTCCCAATTTGTCAGCTGTTGAATTTTCAAATTACAATGACTGATTTGCTAATGTTGTTGGATAAGGTTTTAATTATAATTTCAATTCAATTCAGTAGCGAAGTGGTAAAAGGAGATAAGTCAATCTTGACTATTGACCAGTTTTCAGTGAATATCTCGGAATCCAAGGGAGCAGCAAAATTTTTGTTATAACGTTTTTTGCTGAGCCGATTGAGAGCTACAACAAATGTAATTACGAACATTTCGCTATCTTCCTTAGATTCCGAAATATTCCTCAAAAACTCAACTGGGGGATAAGTCGGGGGAACCGTTTTACCACTTCGCTACTAAATTTATTCTAAGACATTTTAGAGTGTGAATTTCTGGGATTCAATGTTTATTGATACTCTGGTGAAAGTGCGTGCCTACAGTGCTTTCAATTTTTAGTTAGTTCACACGGTAATTCATATCAGAAATTTTGTATTTTCATATTGATATTATTTGTTCAAAGTGAAAAAATGGATCATCAAGTTCACTATTTCCATTCAGATTCTCGTATTCTTAATGTAAAAAATGTCGGATAATCTCATAAATCTAGCTATTAATTCTATTCAACTTTGTTCGAAAGACACTTTATTGTTTGTGAACGCACTATTAAAAAAGTAGAATTATTCTATTTTCTCCTCTGACCTAAATGACTTGAACAATTACGATTCGTTTATTTATATTCCTAGGCTCACTAAATAAGATTTTAATCATAATTCCAATCAATTTCGTCTAGAACACACTTTAGAGTGTAAATTTCTGGAATTCAATGTTTATTGATACTCTGGTAAAAGTGTGTGCCCACTCTGTTATCAATTTTTAGTTAGTTCACACGGTAATTCAATTAATCTGTTGTTTATCTCATCAATATAATTCCATGCTCAGAATATTGTCATCTCGTGTTTTCAGCACCAAATTAAAAATTAAAACTCCATTTGGAATATTGAGTCACAGCTTCTTTTTATTCATATCAGAAATTTTGTATTTGAATATTAATATTATTTGTTCAAAGTGGAAAAATTAATCGCCATTTTCACTATTTTGCATTCAGATTCTCTTATTCTTAATGTAAAAAATGTCGGATAATCTCATAAATCTAGCTATTAATTCTATTCAACTTTGTTCGACAGACACTTTATTATTTGTGAACGCACTATTAAAAAAGTAGAATTATTCTATTTTCTCCTCTGACCTAAATGACTTGAACAATTACGATTCGTTTATTTTTCCTTGGCTCACTAAATAAGATTTTAATCATAATTACAATCAATTTCTACTAGAACACACTTTAGAGTGTAAATTTCTGGAATTCAATGTTTTATGATACTCTGGTAAAAGTGCGTGCCCACACTGTTATCAATTTTTAATTTGTTCACACGGTAATTCAATTAATCTGTTGTTTATCTCATCAATATAATTCCATGCTCAGAATATTGTCATCTCGTGTTTTCAGTACCGAATTAAAAATTAAAACTCCATTTGGAATACTGAGTCACAGCTTCTTTTTATTCATATCAGAAATTTTGTATTTGGATATTAATATTATTTGTTCGAAGAAAACCTTTGTAAACGCAATATTACGAAAGTAGAATTATCCTATTTTCCTCTGACCTAAATGATTTGGACAATTATGGTTCGTATATTCATGTCCCATAGAATGGTATTCAATTCTATTTTGTTTGTTAAACAACCTTCATGAAAATTCTACGCAATACGATTGTACTCATGAAAACCGCCTCAAGTTCTCCATTCATTTTCGATTCGAGATATTGTCCATGCTATTTTTTAGAAAGGATTTGTCCCGATGAGGGGGAATCAATGTTCACAGGAGATAACAAAAGGGAGAAAAAAATCATTGTCTCCGGAACACTTGGCGTTATCAGCTAAACTCCACCCTCCCATCTTCCTTTATTTGCTCGTTTGACACTATACCGTGAAGAAGGTTGAATGAAGTATCAACGGGGGAAAAATACCAATGTGGGGAAAAACCAAATGGTGATATAGAACGGGGATTGAACGGTGGGATATCGAGCGCTGGTAATAAAACTTCCGGGAATTATAGGGGTTCGAGCAGATTGCTGTGATATTCAATTGAGATTCGATAAATATATGGGTTTTACCCGTGTACCGGGTTACGACTATCTTTCACTCGTGACGTGGCAATTCACGTACTTTGAATCAGGGGAGAGAAGTGTAGAGTGTGTATGATAGCCAAAGGCGAGATAAATTTCATTCATACAAATTATATTAATTATTGTTTCCGAATGGAAACCTTGTATTCGTCAAATACGCAATTTCCAATTTTTTAAGTCGGGATAACTAATATCGACCTCCGGAGTGCGAATATTTCTAAATTTAAAATATTTTTCCCAATATTGAAAATTTTAATGTTACGTTGCGAATTAAAAACGATTTAAAATATTTTTCCCAATTCCATCTTGACCGAGTTTGTTCATGAGATTCATGGCATCATCTGTTGTTAAAAAAATGATTTTTAAACGAATTTTCAGGGGAAGGTAAAAAATTTTAACGTCGACTGCCGACATTGCGCCAACGTTAAACTTTTTCGTCGGGGTAATGTTGGGACAATGTTGGCAACATTGCCTTAAGGTTGGCGGATAACATTGCTCCAACATTACATTAATTACATTAATGTTGGCTACCAACGTTGGGGCAATGTTGGCTCGCAACGTCGAGACAATGTTGGCTGCCAACGTTGAGACAATGTGGGCTCCCAACGTCGGGGCAATGTTAAATTCAATGAATCATTGAATTAAATTAAAAACAGGTCCTCATAGAAATTTCATTCGGAATGAAATAGTTAATTTATCAGCAAAAATATATCGCCTGTTGTGACGAAAGCAATTTCCCACTGGTTTTTTACCTTATTTCCATGCGGTATAAATCACGACAGGAAATGTGAAATTTTAAGAAATGAGAGGGTAATGGAAATGGTAGCGTGCGTTTGATGATTATAATTGAGGTGTGATTTGAAATAAATGGAAGAGAGATAATTTAAATGTTGTAGGTCCTCACCTCCTTCTGTCTCATGCCAAACTATTCCCTCCAGTGTTACCGCCGTGCCAGGTTCACACGGTCCCAGACATTCAGGCTCTGTTATGGTTCCAACACTCGTTCCAACACATACGTCTGACATATCCTGTAACAAAAATTGTGATATTAAATGTAAGATTGAATATCAATGAATAATTTCAAGTGTTCAATACATTTCGATCATTTCAGTTCCAATTTGTGCATCTACACTCACATTTAAGGATATCTAAGTACCTCTGACAATTTATAAATTTAGTAGTGAAGTGGTAAAACCGTTTTACGTCGATTTGGACTGTTGGTCAGTTTTCTCTGAATATCTCGGAATCTAAGGCAGATACCAAAATGTTCATTGAAACCTTTTTTGTAGAGCGGATTGAGAGCTACAAAAAAGGTCATACCGAAAATTGCGCTATCTATTGAATATTTAAATTGACTGGATAAGGCGAGGAAGTAGGAGATTATAAAGGTTTCAGAATAAACGTAAACAACGTCTGTCTAACACAGTATATTCTGACCGACTGACTACATTCGTTTGAATTTGGGTAAAGTGTCCCGGACACAAATACATATACAGACTTCGTCTGTGTAATTGAACTATTGTCACCGTTGCTTTCAACACTTCCCCTCAACGGTGCTTAACGTTGTCTTTCGTCCAGTCCTTTAGACCCATCACTTCTGACAACATTTTTAAGCGTTGCGGTCCCAATGGCTTTGTCAAAATGTCCGCCACGTTGTCCTCGGTAGGGCAATACTGAACCTTGACAATTCCACCTTTCTGTAGATCCTTTGCGTAGAAATGCTGCGTGTCGATGTGCTTCGTCCTGGTGCTTGGTCCGTCAGCTTGCAGGCTATTGATGCAGCTCTGATTGTCCTCCATTATAACTACTGGATCCACAGGACTTTGGTCACAGAAATCTAGGATTTTTATGATCCAGACAACCTCTCTGCATGCTTCTGATAAAGCGACGATTTCGGCTTCTGTGGAAGAAACAGATACACAAGTTTGTTTT